CCCCTCCTCCCCCCCCCTCCGTCCCCTGACACACACCATGGTAACTCAAGACAAACATGGGGAATAGATTTGCTTGCTTCTCACAGAAAAAGTCTGTTACTATATGTATTTTTGTGCTTTGTGTAGATGCTTATGGTATACATAGGGTGGGTGGGGGGAGGGAATGGAGGTTAAATAAATACCATTTATTTTGTCTTTGTTCATAGGTGACCGATACTGGTGTGATACAGGGCATGGCCAAGGTGGCTAAACTGTTGGTTGATCATAAGGCAGATGTCAATGTACAAGACTCGACTGGCTGGTGAGCAACACTTCTTTTTTTTCTTTTGTCTCCTCCTCCCCCTCCTCCTCCTCCTTCTCCTCCTCCTTTTCCTCATTCTTCTCCTCCTCCTCCTTCACCTCCCCCTTGCTATTGCTCAGGGGTAGTCCACTTTTGTGACAAATTAAATTATCAGGGGGTTGGTAAAATGTATATTGTCGTGTAATAATGTTTATCTCAGAACCTAAAGGAGAAGAAGGAAAGTAAAAATGATGCCTCCAAATTTGGGAAACGCAAGCATGGCTGTTGTTTCTTAGTTTCTGTCTTTCTTTTGTTCATGCATGATATATTTTGTAACTCTTATAAAAACCCAATATTTCTTCTTCCATAGCACTCCTCTTCACAACGCAGTGCTCAGTTGTAATGAGCCAGTGTTTTCTGTGTTGACCTCATGTGGCCGGGTGGACCTGGAGATAAAGAACTCAGAGGGGCACACAGTGCTCTGGTTGGCCCTGCAGAGACAGGTATAGAGAGAGAAACGATATATTGACACACATGGTTTGATGAGATTTTTTATTGTTCCCATTGCTATTGTTGTTGTCTCAGTGGCTTTTGGCATTGTTGCTGTTACAATTAATTAGTTAATACAGCAGCGTATGAGCTTTTCTTCGCCTTTCAGCGAAATGTGGTATTGTTGAAGGCATATGTCCTTAGTGAAAAGGAGGGGGGGGGGGTGTCTTTGAGAGTGATATGCTACTGGTTTTGTTAAATGCCAGTTGTTCAAGGGATGGAAAGCAGTCTGTGGTTTATCAAAGCTCTCTATCTAACCCCGAAATATCCGTGACTATGAGATTTTTCCAATGCGTACCTATAGAAACTATTCTACACTTTTTAGCATTGCATTTAAATAAAGTTTTGTATGAGAGTCTTTCTTGCAAAGCTTTGCTGTGTCAAATAATTAGTGAGCTTTGAACTGCCGAAACCTTGGTAAAATGTTTTGACCATTTAAGTGATGGTACCCTGAGCTAATAGGACCCATGCACCTGAGCTCTCTCTGAGTTGTCTTCTATTTTTGTTTGTCATTCAGAAGGGTAATGTAGAATGTGTGTGCTCAGATGTACAGGATCTAGAGGATAGTTACACACTTTCCTGAGTTAAGAAAACACAAAGCTGAAAAGGCATTTGTTTGTTTGACAAAGCCTGTCGTAATGAGTTTTTATTTTACTTTTAGGTTTGTGTTGCCTACATAGTTATAATATAGTTCACTACGTAGTTAACTTTGAGTTTAAGTTAATTAAATAGGAGTACATTAAAGAATTTACTCTTATTGTCATTAAGGAAAAGACAAGACAGACAAGCAGACACAAAAGAGGAATAGTGAAGAAGTAAGACCTATTTACTAGTGGTGCACTTGAACCACCCTCAATTAAAAGGGTAGCTCAGACTTTTGTTTTTACCAGGTCAGTCATTTGTGTGTTTTGAGAATCCATATGCTTCTTCCTTCAAATGTTTAAATTACCTTCTTCTTTTTGTTTCAGGCAGAGAGTCCTGTGGAGGAAAATGGGCCCTTGTACGGGGAGAAAACTCTGGCTGCTCAACTGATCACGGCTGGAGCATCGCCAGACGCTGTGGAGCCAGAGACTGGTAACTCTCTGCTTCATCTGGCAGCGCAGCACGGCTACCAAGAGGCGGGCATTTTCCTCGCAGACCACAGAGCTTCGGTGGGGCTGGCAAACTTTAAGGTAAGAGCTTACAGTCCCGTTTGTGTGTCTACATCTCAGGGTGTTGGATTTCAAGGATGTGAAGGGGGCCCAGGGCAGAGGCTCCAGCCCTATGGAGATGAACAATTAATTCTGAGGTCTTGCCTCTTTTATATCTTGTTAAAAATGCTTGCCTCGGCAGGGGCAGAGGAGGCTTTTCTTTTATCTTCCCCAAGAGCTTGAGAAAGAGATTGTTGTTTTGTGTTCTCAAGTTGCTGACAGACCATTTCCCCCATTTGCAATGAAAATATTTTCGTAAACATTTTTCGTAAATCTTAGTATTTAAATCATGTGTCACCTCTTCTTTTATAGGGCATGTAAGAAATTCTTGCTTAAATTTGTGGCCATAAGTATGTGTTTCTGTGTGTTTGAAACACTTTGCGGTCACCTTTGAAAATTATCCGTTTTGTTCACCTGGCATGCGCCAGGCCCGAGAAGTCCGATGCATTCGCTCTCCGGTCTTGGTGACCAGATGAGGTATTTGTACTACTGGCTGTGTGACTGCAAAGTGTTAAGTGGATTGCTTGTGACACTGACGATATCATCTGTCCATTGGCGTCTTGGTTGTCCTCTGCCTCTCATTCTAGCCACTCTTTCTGCTAGCACTGTTTATAGTTGTTTATCATGTCTCATATGTCCAAAATATACCAGTTTGTGTTTTCTGACTGCTTTCAATGGTTGTTTCTGGACTCAATGAAAAATGGGCATTTAATCATTTGACATATGTCTTTTTTTGTCTTTGTCATCTTTCAGTACATCCCTATTGCAAAGGCCTCCATTTTTTTTCTGTTCATTTAGCTGCATCTGATTATTTTGATATCAGTTTTTGCATCGGCATCTGTAGTGTTATTGTAAGGCTCTTCGCTGTTGCTTGCAGAGGGGGTCAGTTGTACTCTTGAGTGTGGAAGTTGTTTTTGTGAGAGTTTGGTGAGTATATTCCATTCAGCCAGAGTTGGCCTCGACTGGCAGTGTCAGAGCAGCCTGCCTCCTACATTATCTAAATTGTGTCAATGGGGGCATAAACTAATTTTATTCAGTACAGTCAATTATTTTTTGCATTGTGTTTATACATCGGTATGTTTTGTTATGCACAGGGCGAGACACCCTTACATTACGCCTGTGAGGAAGGCCTCACAGAATTGGTGCGCATCTTGCTAGAAAAGGGGGCCAATCCCAATGCGCAGACTGTTCGGACCCCGACCTCCACAATCAACATGGCTGCCCTTGGCTACGGGGAAGATGAGAATGCAGAGATTTCCCAACAGACACCGCTCCACCTAGCCTTGACCAAAGGTCATCACTCTGTGGTGCAAGTATTCCTCGATCATAAAGGTAGGAATGACATCTCTGCCGTAAGCTGACAAAACGCTTTTTTATTCACAACAGTTTAGAGTAAAAAGGTTTTTTGTCAATATAACCATTGAAAAATAGAGTGCTTCTGAAATTTGAATTCTGATTTATTTAAAAAAACTAGTCACAGTTTCACTTTGATTTTTCCACACAAATAGGGTAACTAATCAGGCTTTTGATTAAGCGAAAAAACTCAACATTTTGACGCCAAAAGGAAATTTGGCGTGAAATGTCAAAATGGCAGAGTCTTATATTTCTTTATTTTGATTTTTTAAAATGAAAATGGAAAAGGCTCTGTAATGTAATTTATGGGAAGGTGAACAACCGATATGAAAATAACATAATGCCAGGATTTGATAAGTACTTTGAACTGAAACATACTGTTGCTTATTGCCTGGCTGCAGTACCCTGTTTTGAACTGCCATTAACATGTCTTGCTCAAGCAAACACCCCAGCCAATTGGTGTCTAATAGCAGTTTCAATAACATTCAGTTTTTTTCTTTACCAAAGGTTGTCACTCTTTGATACAGGGCTTTATTTGATCTTATTATGGGGTCGTATATCTGTATTCTAGTTTAAATGGGTACATGGTTTTTTTTCATTCTAAAAAAATCCTGATCTTTTCCTGCTGCAAGCCACAACACTTGGATTTTGAGTCTTTCTTGATCATAAAGGGGGCATGGAAGAAGTTACACATGTCTTTCACTCAAAGTTTCAAATGCTTTCAGTTTGTGCTCCCAAAATAGTTCTGCCTTTCATTAAAATCATAGATGTGGGACAGAAACTGCAGCACGTTTCAGGATGGGAACATTTTACATACTTTCAGTTTCTCAATTTTAGAAATGTGATTTTTTCCCCTCCGCTGAAGTAAAGATTTGTGGTCAGAAACTTTTCAATGGTCATTTGTGATTTTGATGTTAATTTACATTTTTTAGCTTTCTTGACTTTCACATCTTGAAAGTACCCAAAGCACTTTGTAAAGAGATGGTTAAAAAATTTTTTTTACTCAAGTACCATCCAGAATGCTGACTTCAAACAAATTAATGCACTGTTCTTTGGGTCCCATTTCTGTTTCAGTCTGTAGGTGTATCTCGCCTTTTCACTGTTTGGCAGTTATCATGCTTCTCTTTACTCAAACCAAAACACAGCTGTTTTTGTCAACTGGGACAAATGCACTTTATATTATTGTTTTTATCAGTTTTTATCTCTTCAGGCAAATAAACTGTTGTCTTTCATCAATCTTAATGTATCAACTTTTTCTGTTTTCACCTGATGGATGGTTGGCGGGTGCTCTGGTGTTGTTTGCTCCTTCTTTCCTATCAACAACTATCATCCTTATGGCCTTATCTCTCTTCCTCTTTTTTATGTTTGTTACTCCTTTGCAACACCTCTAACCTTCTGCACGTATATGACCTAATTGTGTTGCAAGTGTTGTAAAACTCCTACTAAAGCATAAAACTAATTTCTTCACCAGCCCAGTTGTCCAAGTCTGGGGCGACGGGTACGAAGGTACTGCCCAACTTCAACGTGAAGGACTCGCGAGGTCAGACGGTGCTGGCTCTCTCTCTGTGGAACAACATGCATGACATGGCGGACAAACTCCTGGCCTGTGGGGCCAACATCAACGAGAAGAACTCCGCTGGGATGACGCTGTTACACCAGGTACATATTTGAGGGGCAAACTTGAAGAGGAGGGTTGGTTTTGAGCACGCTGTTGGTTGGTCCCGCTTCTTTATTCTTACTTTGCTGTTTTTGTCTGTTTGTGTTGCTTTCTCCCAAGCATTAAATGGTCAGTGTGTCTATATACTTTTCTTTTAATTTTTACCGCTGATATGAATTTGAAGAAAAAAAAAATTAAGACTGAGTTTAGAAATAAGAACTTTTCTTGCTTAGGCATCAGTACCCTGCACAACCTTCTAAATGGCATTGGAGAATGGGAAGTTCTTTGACATTATTTTGACAATATGAAGCATCATTGTAAAAGAATTGCTGCTTCTGAGTTTAGCAAGGTGGGGGTTGCCTGGTTTCAGGGGTTAAATTTGGGAGAAAATGACCTCCAGTTTGTGACTTCCATGCTTTAAAGTCCTAGGAAACTGCAAATTTACATTTTTTGTGCCTATAATCAATGTTTTTCCATAAAATCCACAAATAAAAGTATTTTCGAATGGACATACAAGGTGAACCAAAAGAAAAAAAATAAAAATTTCCAACAGGCAGAAAAATGCCGATTTCTTGGATTTAATTATTTTGACGAGCGCCCGATTTCACCACGATGCCTCACATATGTAGATATGGAATGTGCACATGATAGTTGACTGAGCCAAAAGTCTGCAACACTGTATGTCCTGGAGAGGGGAGCTGTAATGGTAGTTTGGAAAGAAAAGGTTTGGCAAGGAAGTTGTTGTAAAGACACATGAATCTCCTGGGCGATATACAACTATAGATAAGTTCAACTGACATCTTTGGTGTAGTGGTTAGGTGCTTCACCATCACTTGCAGAAGACCCTAGTTGAAATATTCCAATGTGGAGAGAATCTTTATTGAGCATCTCGGTCGTTCTGCTGGGATGATGTATCCCTCTCAGCACCACTCCTTTGAACTCCATAGTGTTTTATTTGCAAAGAAATGTAGAGTTAGATAATGAAAGGGGTCCGCCGTGAGAGTGGACTTTAAGATGATGTGAGATACAGGACTAATATTTGCATCTGCTGGATTAATAGTTAAATCCTTTCCTTTTACTATTGACAGAATAATGTTAGTCTGTTCTATGGATAGCTTTATTATCGTTTACAATTATTGTAAATAATATGTTTGCTTACTTCTGTTTTCAGGCCATAGAAGCTCAAGATGCACCAAGTGCCCTGTTTCTGATGGATCACTTGGCAGATCTGGAATCAATGTACGCATTTGTTTGTTGATGTGTTGTGTGATTGTTTTTATGTTTTTGTTCAGTATGAGAGAGACACGAGACAGTTTTTCAGCATATTCATAAAGGTGACTGACTGGTCAGTAAAACTTTCTTTGTATGGTTGACAGTGAAATTAGAATGTCACCTGGTTTAAAAAAAAATAATTTTGTTAATGGTGATGGAAATCTTGGATTAGTTGATGAGAAAAGTAAATGTAGACATCAATGGGTTATAATAGTTATATCAAGAGTATTTCACCTGACGTCAGCACTTATTTTATCCCTTTGAGCCATCTCATGATTTTTCCTCAACGGTAAGCTTGACTAGAATAAGAATAGATTACTACATTATGGAACTATAGCTTTGATCTCAGCTTTCAGAATATACTTTCAGTAAGCATGAAAGAATATGCTCTCTTGAAGGCTGCTTGAACAGAAGCTGAATGAACAGGTGCCATTGACATGGAGTCTTAAGTGGAAAGGATTAAGTGATGTATTGTGTGTGTATGGGTGTGCACATGCTTGTGTGTGAGTGTGTGTGTATGAGAGAGAGACACAGAGAGAGACACAGAGAGAGAGAAAAAAGCACCAAAACAGTGTGCCAGCTTCTGGACAGTAAAGATCAATCTTATCTTGTCTCTTCCCCAGCTCTCCTGACAAGCAGACAGTTCTGCAGCACGCCATCAGCAGACACTTGCCGGTGGTGGTCAGTGCGCTGTGTGAGCGAGGTGTCAACATGGACACCCTGGACGAGCAGGGAGACTGTCCACTGTGGCAGGCCTTGGACTCTGGACAGGAGGAGATAGCCCACACTCTGGTCAGTGCTCAGGCATTAAAGTGATATAGAACATTAGTCTTAGAAATTACAGTGAAGTCCTTTTGTCTTTGGGCTGGTGATAAAGTACTTAAGTTTCAGGCTGACAGTAAAGTATCTTAGTCTTGGATTGATGATAATATATTGCAGTTGTCAGATGATGAAGTACTTTAACTCTTTCGGTACGGTTTACTGATATATCGCTGTCTTTCCTTACGCCTTATATAACTATGTGCTGATTTATCTAGGCACAAAAAGAGTTTATCTTGGAATTATTTTCTGGGACTGGTATCCTACCTTGTGGGGCATATAGTTGGACTCTCCTGTGCAAGTCGTAAATTTCAAATATCCATCTGATGGCTATTTTTTTCTGTTTGTTTTTCTTTATCCAAGTTCTTAGAGACTATTGTAATACTTCTCTTTAAGATGGAGAAGACATAGTCTGAAGCCTGTCTTGAAGCATTACAAGGACACAGTGCTTCAGCCTGGCCCCATTCTTTGTTCTGCCTCTATTCCTGAATCTTAGCTTTGTCCTCAGAATAGGATGTAAGCTCTTTCTTTCCTTCTCTTTGGAGTATTTTCTTCCGATTTTGAAATGTGTACATTTGGTACCTTTTGTACTTTTTAGGTAAAGCATGGCTGTGATGTGAACTTGTGGTCTCAGAGTCCTGTTGGATGCTTCCAGACTCTACTTCACAGAGCTCTGGATCAGAACAATGAGGCTATAGCCAGCTTCCTTATTCGCAGGTAAGCTGTCTGTTGTGTGTACACATGTCGCCAAAGTACCAGTTCCCAGTTATTCACTATTCTGTGGGGGTTTTTTGAGTGGAAGATGAAAAGATTTGGGAATTATCCATCTCCTTTGTTCTTCTGTCATGTTTTTTTGCGTGCACTAAATGACTGTTGTTACGTCAATGTGCATCTCTTTACTCAAACAATTAAGCATCATATATTGAAGCTGTATAAGCTGGACATTTATGCAGTGTTTTTTTGCAAAAATGGTTTTGTAAGTGGTTTTGTGTATATTTTGAAGTCTGTGGTTAAATTAAGTGTTTCTGTGTTGACTTATGAATTAATGGTTTGTAAAAGTAAGTGTCTGTTCTAGAATGAAATGAGCAAGAATGATAGTTTTTATTGGACAGACCCATATGTGGGTGCCATAGTCTGCACCAGCTTTCTGTCAGATGTGCGTTTACAATGAATGAGAGATAGATGGAATCAACATTGTGAATTTGTGGCTTGTACATGCTTTTCAAAGTCATGAAATATAATGAAGGAGATGTTTGGGAGTTTTTTTTTGTTTTGTTTTTTAATTTGCTAATATTAAGTTTTTTGCTCCTTGGCTTTTGTTGTAGTTTGTTTGTTCCTTCATAGTTGTCTGTGATGCAACAGTTAGGCTCTTTGTCTTTCATGTAGAAGATATGTGTTTGATTCCTAAGTTGGGTAGATATTTTATTGAATATCTCTGTCTTTAGTATCTTATATCTGTAGTTTCCCTCACAGTCTGGGTAGTCCTGGACTGGTAGGATGGAAGCAAGCCGCTTCCTGAATCATCTAAATTGTGGGGTTGTGGGCATAAGATATTCACCCATCATTCACGATCATGGACATAAGACATTCACAATCATTTACAATTGTGGACGAAAGATATTCACAATAATTTACAATCCTGGGCATAAGATATTCACAACCATTTCTGATCATTGATGTACAATATTCAATCATTTTTTATCATTGATGTAAGATATTCACAATTGTTCATGATCATTGGTGTGAGATACTCACAATCATTTATGATCATTAGTGAAAGACATTCTCTATCATTTATGATCATTGGTGTAACATATTCACAATTTATTATTTACAATCATAACATGACCCTCTTTGCAGTAAATGTTGCTGTTCTAAAAGTTATTTGTCTTTGTCTGTTCAGTGGATGTGACAAGAACTGTCCCCGTCGGCCTGGGCCTAATGGTGAGGGTGCTGAGGAAGGCAGGTAAGAGCTGACTGAACAAGAGTGCAAACGTTACTTTGCCGTACCTTTTTCTCTCCTCTTCCTTCTCCATTCCCCTTTCCTTCTCTTCCTCTTCACCTTCTTTTCCTTCTTTTCCTTCTCGTTCTCCTTCTCATCTTCCTCCTCCTTTGCTCCTTCTTTTTCTCTCTTTCATTTCCATCTTCTTTCTCTTTTTTCTCTTTCTCCTTGTTCTCCGTTTATTTCTCCTTCTCTTTCTCTTTTTCTTCTCTTTCTCCTTCTTTCCCCTGCCCCACACCCCCTCCCCCATCTCCAAGAAAAGTGTTTAAGAGACTTCAACACCTGTTGAAAGTTGAAGGAGAGTTAGGCTTCAACAATCAGTTGTTGTTCCTTTATAAAGAACACTGCTTATATGAAAGGGGCGGGGGTGCTTCCTTATGTCTTTGTAAACTTAGGATCAAACCAAGTGCTCTGAGCGGGTGGTTGGCGAGTGCTCTGGTGTCGTTTGCTTCTTTTTTCTTACAAACATCTGTTGTCTTGATCTCTCCTCCTCCTTTTTTGTGATTGTTACTTTCTTCTAACACCCCTAATCTTTGGCACTTATATGTGTCACAACGTGATGGAATCAGGGGCTCGTCAATTTCTGGGCATATAGGGTTATTGGTATCATCTTAAAGCTGTTTTTTTTTACTTCCTTTTTGTTGAAAAATATCCAACTATGTTGAATAAAAGTCGAAATATTTGTGATTGAAGGAGGTCAGGGTCACCTGGTTTCAGAGGTTAAAAATTGCGAGAAAATGGACGTCAAAGTTTGGTAACTTCCATAGCCTGAGTGTCTTTGGAAACTGAAAATGTACTTTTTTTGTGCCTTAAATCTATGTTTTTCAGTAAAATCCACACTAAAATGTGATTTTAGATTATGAACATAAAAGGTGTTCAGAGAAAAAAAGAAAATTATTTAAAAATTGCCCATCGGCCCAAAAAATGCAGATTTCTTTGATTTAATTTTTTTGACAAGCGCCTGATTTCACCACGATGCTTCAAATATGATCTTTTTGTGTTGCATGTGCCGTAAAATTCTAACTAAGACTAAACAAGTACTCTGTCATGAAAGACAAGCATGTTACCTCATGACCAAGGTGCCCCTCCATCGTGGCCAATGTATTTCTTGTATGATTGACACCTTGTAATGATTTTTTTTCCTTACTATACTCTCTGTCTGCTCTTTATTGAAGAAACAAAACAAAACAGCCTTAACAATACCAGTGGTTACCTCTATTCATTGATGTATAAATTGCAGATGGCGCTATTTTTAGGCGGTGACAGTTCATGTGTTCTAAGAGTAGAAGAAAAGATTTTTTGTTTTCCTAATATGGATCAACACACTGTGTAAGAAAAGAACAAGACATCCGTGATGGTATCAGCGGTGATGATTTCTCAGTGGGCAGTTTTTAAAGAGTGGCTTCTCTATCTTAAGTAGAATCTTTGATGTGCAGATGGTTGAACGGTGTCACTGGTTGGTCCTACTTCTTTTCCTTCCCTCTGTCATTGCTGTCTGTCTGTATGTCTGTCTTGTGTTTTTCCTTCAGTAAATGCCAGTTATAGTGTCAGTGCGCTGATCTTTTTATAAATAACGAAACTCTGGTGTTCCAACTATTTCAGTGATGGTCAGACGCCTTTGCACATGGCTTGTGCCTGGGGACTTGAGATGGTGGTGCAGTGCCTCATGGAGCACAGTGCAGATGTCAACGCGCAGGTAAAACAAACACCAGGGGCTTACAGTTCGCAGACAAGGAACAAAAATAAAAATGGTCTTGGATAATGATGATGATGATGATTTTGATAATAATTATAATAGTCGTAATAATGATAGTGATATTACAATAGGATCGTTATTTATAATATATCGCATTTATATGGTATATATCCCAACTTGAAAAAAGACTCCATGCCCTTTACAATTTATTTTTACCATGATGAACATGACAACATTCCGAGACATTGTCAGATTTCTGGGAAGCTTTCGGTTCTCTAACATTAATGTACAGACTTTCACTGTCTTCAGTCAAACAGTCATTGTCACCTCGGTAGAGTTTTTGAAATTTGTGTAAACTGCTGGGACACAATGTCAGGCCCAGACTAGGATTCGATCTGATGACTTTATGGTCATGAGTGCAGCAGCCTAACTACTAGACTAAAGGCACAAGGACTGGATAGGTCAAGGTTGTGCTAGTTTGAAAACTGGTCTTCCAGAGTCATGGTTTAGTGTGATCGGCTGCTTCTGTCAACATATTTTTACTTTCAAAGGAAGTAAGTTGTTGCGTTGCAGTGACCTAAATTTGAATTATTGGAAACGTCCTGTGTAGCCAGGAAATGGGATTAAGGTCTTGCTACATACTGGATTGATTCTTGTTTGAAATTTAGCGCATGCAGTTGACGTATCGCTATCTCAAAATTACAAAGTTGTACCTGCTCAGTACTTAGTTGTTAAGAATTCTGGCGTCAAAATATTTTGAGTTTCACATCATATCAAGCTTTTTCGAATGTAAGTCTGAATATTTTGATAATGACTCTGAAAAATCGTTCAATTTCGATAGAGCAGATAGAACATTTGGTTTCTGACCTAATAGTCTTAATAACTCAAAACGGCCAAAAATGTCAGATAAAACTTTGTAATGCTGAGATAGCAGTATTGAACTCTGGTTGTTCCTGTACCAAAGTCTTTTCATTCTATCCTGTCAGGACGCGGAGGGTAAGACACCCGTGCACATTGCCATAGAGAACCAGTTCCCAGTGGTCATCTCCCTTCTCCTGTCTCACCCTGGCCTGGACCTGAAGGCCCGGGACAAGCGGGGTCACTCCCCCTTTGCGGCCGCCATGTTGACCAAAGACAACAAAGCCGCTCAGGCTATTCTCAGCCGGGAACCAACGGCTGCAGAACAGGTAGGTTGTGCTGAAAGATGCCAGTTCTGTGTAAAAATAATTTTAATAGTGATTCACTTTTTTTATTCCAGTGGTGAAATTTAGTGTAGTATGGCTTACCTACATGCGTACATAAATATGTATTTACATGAATATATAAAAACATACAATAATTCATCAATTTATTTGAGGCATCGGGGGTTAAATTAGGCGCTCGTCGAAATATTGAAATTAAAGAAGCGCATTTTTCTGGTCATTTGACTATTTTCTTTGAATTTTCTTTTATTGGCTCAATACCGTTTATGTCCATTTAAAAACACATTCTGTGTAGATTTTACTGAAAAACCATTGAAGGTACAAAAAGCATAAATTTGCTGTTTCTAAGGCCAAGTATGCTTTGTAAGTCACCAAGCTTAAGCAGCCATTTTCGCACTAATTTTGCCTCGAAACCAGGCGACCCCCACCTCCTTCAACCGCAAAAGTCTCAACTTTTATTTAAGATAGATGGGTACTTTGAACATAAAAAACAAGAGTAATGAACCAGCTCTAAGGTGATACAAATAACTCTTCATGCCTTAAAATTGACAAGCGTTTGACTCCACCCCGTCATTACCATATTAGGATACACAATATCACACCAATACAGACAATCAGCACGCCAGTCACTACTGTTCAGCACCCTGTTTATGAGCTAGTGTTAATGGCCCCCGTGTGATCACAAGTCCTAATTAAATGTATTGTCACTGACATTGTGAGCCTGATCTTGTCAACCACTTGTCCACTGGAGCACAGACACTCCGCCATCAAGCGGACAGATCTAACAAGATTTGTACAAACACAGTCTTGTTCAGTCTTTGCTGTCTGAATAGAGCTCTTTGATAATGAGTAATTTGATTGTGCATGGAGCAACTGATAAATAGTTTTGTGTCTATTATGTTCAAATGCTGTTCCACCAAGATATAATGTGGTAGGTATGTCTAGATGTGCAAATTCTGTCGCACCAAAGATAGTATTAATTACAAAAAAATTATCGTGAAGTGTTTTTATGCTCATGGACAGAGTCTATATTATTCAAAAGGCGGGTGGCTTTGACTGTGGCTGCCAGGGCAAAATGGGACAGAATGGGACACAGCATCCCAGCAGACAGACAGACAGACAGAGATACTCGATATAAAAAAACTTTCCCCATTTGGGAATCACACCTAATTTCTTCTGCAGGTAACGATGAAGAATCTATCCATTACACCTCGGACGCTGGTGATTTGACTGAATGTACTCCTTCTTTTTCTCTCCCCCCCCCTCCACACACACTCATACTCGCACACACACACACACACAAACACACACACACCCCACACCCCTTCAGGTGGACAACAAGGGGCGTAACTTCCTGCACACGGCCATCACCAAGGCGGACATCGAGAGCGTGTTGTTTTTGCTGAGTGTGCACGCCAATGTGAACTCGCGCTCTCAGGACAGCCAGAACCTGACGCCGCTACACTTGGCTGTGCTGGCCAGCTCTGAGATCATCGTGCGGAACCTGGTGAGAGAGAAGTTCCTAGGCTGTATTGTTGTGACCCAAATTTGAGTTTTTAGAAAAGTGTATTTGGGTTTAAGTTGCTTGGCATTGAAGAGCTTGATCTCCTGCCTAGGATTACTTTATTGGTAGAGTCTTGTTTGTGGGGTAGCACATGCAATACATGATTGGCAGTCATGTTTTTTCAAGGATGCAGTGTACCATATGTAGGGTGGAGAATAGGACTCAGAACCCCCACCATTGCTTGGGTTCTTTCTCTTCAAGCCTGAGCTCAAGTAGATTTCCTTGAAAATTAAGTGCAAGTGGAGATTGTATGTACAGGGGTATGTCACAAATTCAAGAAAGATGCTGTCAATTATCTATGGCTAATAATGTAGGTGTCGCTTCTGGTAGTGACCATCTTACCCTAGCATACTATACCAAACTATTACCACACCACACCACACCACACATCACACTGTTGCATAAGCTACTATCCACGGTTTCAGTCAGAGGCATACCTCAGTAAGACTAGTGTAGTGTGTATTGTTTGAAATTTAGATAATCTCTCTCCCCGCCCCCCTCCCAAGATCTATGAAGCGCGTAATGTTCAACTTTGATTGCGTCCCCCCCTCCCCCACCCCCAGCTTCTGGCTGGAGCATTAGTCAACGAGCGCACCAAGACATGTGAGACAGCTCTCCACCTGGCTGCCGCCAAAGACTGCAGCACTATCTGCTCCATCCTCCTGGACAACAGCGTAGACTTTGACGCTGTGGATGAAAATCTCAATAATGGTCAGTGGAATGAACAAAAAAAATTCTTGATGTGGTGGAGGGGGAATCTTACTAATGTTTGTATCTTTGTGTCTAAGAAAGTTTGTACCGTGCAGCAGGAGGAAGGACATGGACTTATTCATCAGCCAGCTGTCCAGATGTGCTAAGCCCTATTATTTTATTTTTAAAATGTTTTTCTCAAATTGCAGTTTCTTAAGCTTGTGCTCAAGCAAATAGTATGTTGAATGTCAAATTCTAAAAAGTTGAAAAAAGCCGGAAATGATGCATAATGTAATTGTTAACTCATTCAATCGCAGGAGTTTTTCCCTTAATTTTACCCAGAAAACGGTCATTTTTGCACTTATGTAAGGGCCCACCAGTAACAATAATTATCATCCAGTTGCTTTGAAATTTGGAACAAAGTACAACTTAAGATGGATCTTTACTTTAGACATACCAAATTTGAAGCATGCAGCTTTAGTAGTTTTGCTTTGGGGTTTTGTACAAATTTGGCATTTTGGGGGGCTTATTATTTTTTTTCATGGCAAGCCTACATTGATATTCGAATATTATGCTTGTGAGTATCTAGATCTGTGTATTGTATGTAATGTATAATGAAGTCTGTTGAATACTTTCATGAATAAAATAATGTATGTGTGAGAAAGGCAGAGAGAATCGATTACGACACATGCTCAGCTGATTAGTGTGAACAAACATGCTGAAAGTTTCTTCCTGAAAAGCGCGATTTCTTCGTGTGTAATGACAGTAGAAACAAAATTCCAGCTCCCCTCTAGGCTGAATTTGCCGGGGAAATAATAAATTGACCTTATATAAAACTTGAGACCATTTTCCGAAATGAAATAACTAGTATACAGAACAAAACTATAGAACCGAATTATCTTACTCGTGGGATTGAACGCAGGCCACGAGCTTACCAAGATATCTCGGTCACGGGATTGAGTGTCCTGTTCTCTGTGATGAATACTCTTACCAGAGTCTGTGGTGTAACATGTAACGGTTAGGCTCTTCTCCATGGCACACAACAGACACAAGTCACATTTCTATTGGTCAGAGTGGTTTCCTGGAGTATCTACACCTTTCAGCTGGGATGCTGTTTCTCAGGTGCTATCAATATGTGCATAGACCATATACAGTCATTTGTACAAAATGTTATGTTTTTTATGTTTTGTAGAGAATTATGAAATCCTGTCCCAGTTGTAATTTTTCTGCTAAAAGTAAATATATTAAACCCTTTAAATAGCCCTGAAATGTTGTAAAAGGTGATTGGAGGTAGGTCCTTCTTTTTACTATCTCTCTTTTGTTTCTGTCCTCGTCTGCCTTGTCTTTATTTTTCCTCCCCTACTACTAAATGATTGTTATTATGCCAATGTATCTTTCTTTATTCAAACAAACTCAAGCTTGCAACATGCTCATGTTAGTGAAACTAAATTTTATGGGAAGGATTAGATTAAACTATGTGATTTTTAATAAGTTGATTTTAACCGTCAGTGAGTGGTGATTGTCCTGTCTTTGTATGCACCAACATCTGTGGAGGGTGAAAGGGTGATGTTCTTTGCTGTTGCATGCTGAAGTTGTGAGTTCAATTACTATGCGGGGAAGTTTATTTTATTGAGTGTCTCAGTATTCCTTTCTATTGGATTGAAGCAGCCTTGCCCACCATCCTACCAATGTCTAAATAAGTTTTTATTTGCTCTCTCTTCCTCAGCCTTGCATCGTGCTGTGATCAATGGGAATCTGAACACAGTGAAAGTGTTACTCACTGAGTCCACCATTAACGCCGAGGCTGTTAATGCCAAGTGAGTAATTCTCTGCATCATTTGGCTAACGTCCCTTCAAGCAAAGTGATTTTTATACTTTCTCCCATGATTTGATTATTAAGTGGTTTCTTCCACTTGATTATCAGTGACGATCTGTGTATAGTGTATATTGCAGGTTCAGGCCGAAGGGCTAGAACTCAAATGGCTGCTGGATCGGAAAAGTGAAAGTGAAAAGTATATTGGTACATAATGTTTATCTGTGCATATAATTTCAGGTCAACATTGATGGATAGGTATATTTTAGGTTTAACTCTTCATTTCTGTGGGGGGTAAACCCACTATGCCGGGCCCTTTCTTTGGTACTAGATCTAGAAATGACAAAAACGTCACTAAAAGGATATATAAATAAAAACATTAAGCTATTTTGATAGTTCTTCATCTAATGAATGAACTCCTGGTAAAAGTGACCTGTTTTCGACAATTGCTGATAAGTAATTTGATGTAGAAGGTGTCGTAAAAGAATGTGCCCGAACCGCTGTCAGTGACTGGCACAGTGTTTCCGACCGGTCGAGTCGCTAGGAGCGGCTTGTCAGAGATAAAGAGTTAAAATAAAAATGTATGCATATATTTTAGTTGTGTAATAAATATCTACTTGTATACGTCAATAGATTGTGATGCATTGTATGCCTATCTTTCTGAAGTTTACCAGGTGCAGGCTTGTTTGCTGATAACAAAAAGTCTCATTCAGTCAGGAGATAGTATGAAAGTATGTTGGTCATAAAAATGTTCTTGAGCAAACTTCTGTAACCTCCGAGACTGGAGTCTGGTTTTGGTTAGCCCCGTAGACTGTCGTGTAAAAGGAGGATTTTGGACTGAATACGTTAACTGTTTTGCCAGGCAAATTTAGAAAAATTGCCACAGCCCTGTTATACAGGGTGAGAGAAGAATCTTTTTTTTTATTATCTAGCAATACCACACGCCCCGTGCCGACAGTGCGAAAAAGCGGTAGACTCGCCCCAGCCAGGGGTAACCCAAGGAACATGCTTATTTATACCATTGTTTTTTGTGTCAGCCTCATGTATCGTACATCAATACACGCGGGAGAAATTGAAGCATTCACTGAAGAAAAAAGTTTTCCGATATCTTCAACGACAGCCGAGATATTATCGAAGAAAGAGGATTGGTTGGTAGTGAGAGTGAAACCCGCCGAATGGCACTGTGATTTTCCAACTCTCTATATTTGGAAGGTGCGGAACCATCATAAATATTAACCAAACGTCCCCAAATTCGGCAACCAATGAGAAGAAAGGACTTTATTTCTTCCATTTTCTATTTTGTTGCCCTTAAAAACATAAACTCACCAATCTTCAGCTTATTCCATTCATAAATGTGAAAGTTTTGGGCTTTCAATATTCTGGTGCCGTTTGCCTTTCTTTATTTCTCTAGAGGATTTTCTCCAAAATACCCACAATTTCTGACATGTACACAGCCATAACTTTTTTAAATTTATGGACCGATTTTGAACAAGTAAACTGCTTTTTATTTCTGGATTATTGATCTTTTTACCTGGGTTGTTTATAGTTTAGTAGTTCACATCTTTAAAAAAGCTGTGGTATTGCTACAATTTAGCATGTACAGTTTCAAGGGTTTGCTGTCGTCAGTAGAGAGAAATTAACACTTTTTTATACTCAGCTGTGTCAGGTTACACTATTTGGCAATTAAAATGCTGAAGGAAAGACATTTATGTTTGATCCTCTCCATGACATCTTCACTTTGGCAAATAGCAAGCTAAAGTCATCTTTTGCCATGTTTGTTTTTCCTGTTTTTAAACATTTTAACATTTTAAGATTTCACTACTAACCCGAGCCAGCCGTACAGTAAACTGTTGTGAACAAAACCAACTTGTGTTTCGCACGCTCATATGACCTTATGCAGTTGCGAGCGCCGTAAAACCCTGTACTAAACAAACAAACAAACAATTTTCCTGAGCCAAGATGTATTCGTGTGTGATTGGTGGGTGCTCTAGTGTGGTTGACTCCTTCTATCCTGTCAAACATCTATCGTCTTTATCTCTCCTCCTTCTTTTTTGTGTTTTTACTCTTTTGTAACACCTCTAATCTTCGGCTCTTATATGACCTTATTGTGTTGCAAGTGCCGTAAAACTCTTACTTAAAACAAAAACCAGATGTATTCTCAGCTAATTGGACTGTCATGTCAGACAGAGATTCAAGTTTCTCGTTGTGCTCTTGTCAGGGGACAGAATCCGCTGCACATATTGGGTCAGTACGGCAAAGACAACGCAGCAGCCATGTTTGAACTGTTCCGCGACACTATGCCAGAGTACCCCATAGACAGGCCGGACAACGAGGGGAACACAGGTGAGGTCACTCTGCTAGGAGTTTTACAGTAAAGCAGGGACTTTTTCACTCATAGGAATATCACAATGCGGGTGGTTAGCGGGCGCCACCAGTAGGTCTTACTTCTTTACTTCCCTTCTGTTGTTTCTGTCTGTCTGTTTTACTTTTTCACTGTGCTAAATTACCATTGTTGTGTGGATGTGCTTCTCTTTAGTCAAACAAGCAAACTCAAAGGAATGTTACTGTAGAACAGTGATTGTAATGCATGTATTGCTCTGTCCACCCCTCAACATTCTGCCAAGGGCATACCCCCAACTGATACATGGATGATTTTATTACACCCCCCACCCACCCCAGGCAAACTTCGACTGACATCACTCCCCAACTTGATATTGTTTCATATTTATTGTCCTCAAAACTGCCACCCTCCCATGGGGCATTCTTACTTGCACTTCACTTTGATATTGTGATGTATTAATTGCTGCAAAGTCCTCCCCCTGCCCCGCTTTGCTCTACTGATGTAGTGATATATTGCTGGCGGCCGTGATTTTAGTTTGTTCCATCCGAACAGTGACCCTTCCTAGCCCCCCCCCCCCTCCCTTCCAGCATACCTCTAATCATATTGTGATCTATAGCCTCCAGCCCTGACTTTGGTTTGTTCCATCCTGCCAGTGATCCTGTTGGCCTACCTGAACGGTAACGGGAACCTATGCCGTGCCCTGGTCCGCGCGGGAGCCTGTTTAGGCTGTGTCAACAAGCAAGGACTCAGCATCTTCAACGCCCCGGTGGCCACAAAACAGCTGCTTTTCAAGTTATTAGGTGAGCTTTCAGAGGCTGAATTCTGTGGCTGTTTGTCTCTGTCTGTCTGTATGTCTGTGTTTTTGACCATCTGCCTGTATGTTCTGTCTGTCTGTAAATATCTGTTAAACTTTGTGCTTGTCTGTCTGTCTGTTTGACCTTCTGCCTGCTCGTCTATTTGTCTGTCTGTCTGTCTTGTCTTGTTCTCTCTTTTTTCCTTTTTTTGGGGTCAAGATTTAATATGTGTACTGGTATTGAATCTTTGTACTTTCAGATATGCACTGCAAAGATATCATATGCGGGGTGAATTTCTCTTTTTTTCAGATATGGTCTGTAGAGATATAATGATGTGTTTTGAAGTTCTACCCTTTCAGAGATATGCTCTCTAAAGATGTAACGCTAATACATGTATTGATATCACTACTTTCAGATATGCTCTCTAAAGAACCGCCATGGAGCGAGGGAGAGTCTTGTTTAGAATGTTCTGCCAAATTTAATATTAAAACAAGAAAACACCATTGGTGAGTCCTTTTTTTAATGCTTTCCTGCCTACTTTTTCGATATTGCATACATGTTGTAACATGTAAGTTTAAGGTACTGGTATTTTAAACAGTCTGTGGAAAGTGAATGTCATGTCATTGATATCTTGCTACCTCAGAAGTTCAAAGTTTTATCTGCTCAATACGTAGTTTTGAGAAATTTGACATAAAAGATTTTGAGTTGCACAATGTGCCATGCTTTTTCAAATGCAATTCTTGGAATATCTTGATAAAGACTCTGAATATTCCTATGATTTTGATAGAACAGAGAAAATATTTGGTTTTTGACCTCATGTATAGTAACTCAAAGCAGCCCAAAATGTCACTGATAGAACTTTGTAATTCTGAGGTAGCAACATATATGTGTTTGCAGTTGGGCACATCGCAGTGTTCGTTAGTATCATGCTATGCTTTGATGCAAACGACCCCTGTTCCAATCCTCAAATGGAGGGTTTGAACTTGGGTTGTTTAGAAGTTTTCAATTCTCTTTACTTGTTGTGAGCTTGAGCTTGTTGACATTCAATGTCTTGTCTGTTAAATAACCTTAAAGCGTTGAAAGGGATGATAAACCCATACAGTACCCCCCGGGGCAGTGCCACTGTCTGTAGTAGTGTCTTTAGGCCATTCCCAAAGGGGGGACAATTCTCGTTCATGTACAGTAGAATTGTAAATGGGCTGATTCATCATGTCACCTTCTTAACTGTGCCTGATCTACAACAGAGAACTGCTGCTTTTTCTTTCCTAATCCTCACTATTGTCATTTCTGTGTACTTCTTTTGTATGTTTGTCACACTCTTGTGGTCTGCTATTTCCGGGGTGCTTTGATAGTCGAAGCAGACTTTGTGCTGTTGAAGCTAGAGAGGTGAGCAGAGTAAATCTGATTCCCGGTAAAGACTTCTCTGCTGACACTCACCCCTTGGCGCTCATATGACCTTATGCAGTTGTGAGCGCCGTAAAACCCTCTACTATTAAAAAAACAAAAAAAACAACAATACAGTTATCTGAATAAAAAATATCTGCAGTTTTGTGCCAGGGAATTTTTAAAGACTTCATTTACCCTACTCTACTCTGTTCCAGATTTTAAATTACCTTAGTGTTGTTGACAGGGGAGTTATAGTAATGATAGTTACCTATATGTCTAAGTAGTGCATACCCCTGCTCAAAAGTAAGCTCTATAACTTTATTTATTGAAACAGAGTAGGACATTTTTTCACGCAAACAAGCAGACTAATGCTTTTATGTGTTATTGTAGACCTGCGATATGGTAATAAAGGGAGGGGGGAGGGGGGGCGGAGAATTACTCTATGTGTACTTTTACTAATGTTGTATCTTTTTTTTTTTTTCATGGTTTCAGCCGTCACTGTGGACGTTTGCTGTGCTCAAAATGTTCCAGTCGAGATATGCCCATTGTGAAGTTCAACCTGAGCAAGCCAGTGCGAGTGTGTGACGTCTGCTTCGATGTTCTCTCTGTCGGGGGTCAGTTTTAATGAAAAGATGGGTGGCTAGTGTAGGCCTACTTGTTGGTCAGTTGTTCTAGTTCTAGTGGAGAAGTGGGTCTGTCCCAGAGGAGTTCTAGTGGAGATGTGGGTCTGTCCCAGAGGAGTTCTAGTGGAGATGTGGGTCTGTCCCAGAGGAGTTCTAGTGGAGATGTGGGTCTGTCCCAGAGGCAACTTGTCAGCTCTCTACTCTCATCACTATTGTGAGTTTTTAAAAACAAACAACTTGATAAATAACTGTCACAAATTTAAATGAACACAAATATTTTTGTCTAGGTTTTGGATAAGGTTCAAAGGAAGCTGTATGTTATTTCTTTTTTTGTTTTATGAACTCTTGAAGAGTGTGAAAACGTGGGATCTTAAAGACAGAAGAATTAATGAATAAATAGATACTTGCTGGCTTCAATTTGAATTGTATGTTTGTGAAGGAAACACAGAAGTCGCCGTAACTGTGATGTCATTATTGAGATGCTGCAATGAAATTCTGTGGACTGATCACTAACATGTTGTCACATGAGGCAACTGACAGTTGAAATGAAGGGCTCTGTGATAAAGTAGGTCATAAGCAGTATCCAAATTTTTTTTCTTCTTTCCTTTGGCTTGTGAGTTGGATCTATAACTCATAAGTATACGGAAGGTTATTCCACCTTTGTAAGCAGCCAATTCGTTAATCCAGTTTTTCAGCATTACAAACTTACAGATACTTACCTTTGTACTGCCTGGACTCAGTTTTTTCTTCAACAGCGTGCACAGTACACTCTTTCTACGTTTTTCCCCCCAACATTTTTAGATATAAAACATTTTGTCATAAAGCCTTTTCAATATTAAAGACTGTGGTAGAAGTTGTGTGAACTGATATACTTAATAGGCATCTGGTATACTTTACTTTTCTGATCCAGTGGTCATCTCAGTTCTTGCCCTTCGGCCTGTGTATCCAGTATGCAAGGAACATCTGAAAGTTGACATTTAGATGTCTGAGTAGACTCCCCTTACTATTTTTTATAATGCTCTGCGGAAGATTTTTCGCATCGTACGGTGCTCATATTTTATCGTATATTTATCTGTTTTTGCCAGTTAGATAGATTTTGTTGTGTCCTCTCTTTTTTTTTCTTGTAAACTTTGCCCTGCCGCTGAGTTGTGTACAATATTTGAGACTTGTTGGGTCGTAATGTCTGATTGGTTGCTAATATTGTATCATTTTATGTCATGTCACAAATAAAAAAACCCAGGGACTTTTTGTACATTGGGACCTAACAGCACCTTTCGCCTGCACAATGTTTTCCAAATGATAGACATAATTGGTGAATATAATATTGGTGACAATTACGAATTACTCTAAAAATTGAGGGTGCTATAATTGAAATGAACCGTTGCTTTTGATCTTGTAAGATGAGTCTGGTCTGTATGTTTATCTTGCTGTTTGCATCTTGCAGGTAGTTTGTTGTTTTACAATTCTAAGAACTTTGAGTGATTCAGCCGAGTTTGACTATGTGTCTGGAGAGCAAGTCCTAACTTTTTTATAAAGGTTTTATATATATTCGGTATAGTGTGGCTATGCTGCTTGCGTATATTATTTGCTGATGTTTTCATTGTTTTCCAACCTCCCTGGTGCCTGGATATGGCCCGATGTGTGCACGGATTAAGACTGATGATGGGAACTGCTGTGTGTGTGTTCGTGTTTTACTTCCTTTGCCCTCATTAAATTTCTTTACGAGTGTGGAGTTGGTTTGGTGTAATAGTGCATTTGCCCCAGTTTCTAGGAGTTTAGTCGTAGAATATCTTCTAAAGTTGCAGAAGATTTTTTATTTTTTTGGAGGGGGGGGGGGAGGGGGAGAAAATTTTTGTCCTGGCTTTTTGATAATAACTCTGTTCAGTCAGAGACTGGCTTCTCAACTTGCCTGTTGATGTTATATGTATTGCATACAGAAAGCACAACAGATTGTTCAAGTCCCATCAATATACTGGAGAACCAAGTCTTGTGATCTTAAATATCTATGGTGCTGGCAAACTGTACATTAGAACCAAACTAATGTCATTTCAATACATTTATTGTTGAAGTCTTTCCAAATGGAAGACAGGTGTGTCTTAAAAGTTGAAAATGATCATACTCATACTAAACCACCATGAAACCAACTTCTAGGGTCATATCTAGGACGTTTGGAAAAATAATTGATTTTCAGGTCTATTCCATCACCCAACTTCAAGAGATATAGTGTATTATTCATGAAGGCTGGGGATTGAATTTCATCTTGGTCTGTGTGATCAATTTTACTTTCTCCAGTAGTAGTACCTGCTAGTGAACTAGCCCATCAGATAGTGTGCTCACTTATCTATTTTTGTTGTTGCTTGAAAAGTCCTGATTTAAAACAAATTTTCCATTCATGTTGTTTGTCTCGGATGGACAAAGAGAAGCAACCAAGCTATGCTCACTTTGGGAAAATGGCGCAAGTATTCAGAGGAAAGAACAGTGAGAGGGATATAGGTGTATATACAGGCCAAGGTTCTCTTCCTTTTCACAATTTATTGTTACTAAAATAGGTGAGACTCTCAGCTGTACTCTGTTATTGTTGTTTTAGTTATATTCCGAGACACAATGTCCTGACTTCTGTGCTGAAGTGGTTGGGGCTCTTTGACCATCTTCCAGAAGGTATAAGTTTGACTTTCGTGTGGGATAGATGTTGTGCCAAGTATCTTGGGCTTTGTGCTGGGATGTGGGCCCCCACAGACCAGGATAAGCTTGAAAGACAGAGTTGAACAACCTGCTTCCTAAATTATTCAAATTGTGCCGATGGAAGCATAAAATAAAGCGTTGTGCCAATGGAGGCTTAAAGCATATAAATACCATTTCCTAAAAGACATGTGCCAAATATTGATACTGGTTCAATGTTGTTACTGCTGTATTCTTCTTGGAAGAGTTACTTATTGTCGCTGCATCAAGACAAATGAGGAGCTCCGGGTTTGTTTGTTGTTTTTTTTTTACTCGCCTTTAAAAGTTGGATCAAAACAGCGCTACTCATTTTTCTTACGGCAGGGGCGATATGAAAGTTTTTTGTCCTTTCCAAAATCGTGAAAAAGAACAAATTTTAGCCGCACAATTCATTGAAGATATTAAGTTGTTATTTTTAATATAATTTTTTGTCTGATATTTTGACATATTTATACATTTTGTGTACCCCCTTATACATTCCTCATTTTGCCTCATATTCCATTTGTCATGGAAACAGTACTTTGCTTATTGTCAGTATCTATTCTGTGGGTGAAACATTTGAAAGTCTTGTTTTAAGCTATGCTTCATCATACCGTTACTGTTAAAATTACTTTTTACGAAAGTATGCATGCCAAAAACTTGTGGTAGCTCTGGCTTTTTGTAAGTCTGAGAATGTCTGGTATTGTTCTCACCTGTGGTTTTCTTTTAGATCCCTAGATGAAGACAAAGACTGAGTTTTTGAAGAGCCCTGAATATCTTTTTCTTTAACTGTTTCCTTGCAAGAGGGGTTTCCATGGTTGTGGTGGGCCAATGTGTTGTATAGTAAAGTATAGAGATGTGACTGGTTAACGTAAAGGTAGTGTGAGAGTGGCCAAATAAAATTGACATGTTGTGTATTAAAATAAAGTTAGAAGAATAAAGAGCAAGAAAACCCCCTGGGGCGGTGCCACTGACTGTAGTGTCTTTACTTTAGGCCATTCCCAAAGGGGGGACATTTCTCGTTCAAGCACAGTAGAATTGTAAATGGGCTGATTTATTATGTCACGCTCATAACTGTGCCTGATCTACAACAGGGAACTGCTGTTTTTTCTGTCCTAATCCTTACTATTGTCATTTTCCTCTACTTCTTTTGTACGTTTGTTACTCTTGTGACCCGCTATTTCCGGGGTGCCTTGATAGTCGAAGCAGACCTTGTGCTGTTGAAGCTAGAGGTGTGAGCAGAATAAGTCTGAATCCCTGTAAGGACTTCTCTGTTGACACCCACCCCTTGGCGCTCATATGACCTTATGCAGTTGTGAGGGCCGTAAAACCCTCTACTAAAAAAAAAAAAAAAGAGCAAGAGATGGTATTGAAATAACCCCCCCCAAAAACAAAACAAAGCAACAAAACAAAACAAACAACAACAAAAACCAACTACACAACATGGGTGTACTTGTTAGTTGTCAGTCTGAGAAAAAAAGGTCTGTTTTTCAGGGGAGATAGCGCTATATTGTAATAAATCTTGGATTGAACTAAGAAGAGCAGCACCAGATATCAACAATGATAATGATGATATATGATTCTGTGCATTAGCACAGAAAGTTCCCCCTTAGTTTGTACTTGCTTGTGTTAAGTTACTGAACTGTGGAGCTATTGATCTGGTGTGTTTCCCCTACGCTGTTGTCAAGCTGCTTTCCGTCTGATGGGGGAATGTTTGTGCAAGTGTTTTGTTTTGAATTTGAAGAGACAATGAGGTTCTACTGCATTCTGTCAGCTGGCTTATGTTGGGTTTGTTTTTTCTGAACTGTACTTACAGTTACAGTACTGTATAGATTGTGAGCTGAGCTGTGAACTGGGTGACTGCTGCAGTTTTTGAAAATGACATTTATTGTTTGTCCCTCCAGTGTCATCTCTTGCCCCTTCGTGTAGGCCACACTATTCTGTTTGTGGAAGAGAGACTGGGAACAGATAAGTACAGATGGAAACTAGCAACACTAATGAACTCATATTTTAGAGTTTTTTTTAAAATAGGGTGAAAATATGGGGGAGGGTGGGGTTGTGTCAACTTGTTCCAGTACATGATAGTCAATGAAACTTCTTTGGTAGGCCAACAGTTATCTGTACATGAAGATATGCTGGAAGTATGTTTGTTTCTTTGCGGCCACATTTTTTGATCTGGATGTGTCGCTCAATCTACGAAAGTAGAAAAGACTTGTCATTCCAGAAAGTGTCTTCATGAATGAACATTTTTTTCATAAGGCTATAACTATTGTTGCTGTTGTAGAAACATAGAAATTCAAATGTTTTTAACTCAACCAGTAAAGAAAGGTCAAACAGAGTTACAGATTTTTCTTACAATAGCAGAGATATTGACTGGAGAAAATGCATGGTCCAAGTCTCAGAAAAATGACATCAAGTGGAACTGGTTTTGATGTAGTATGTTATCAAGTCCACAAATTCCAGACTGCCGAATTGGGGACAGTACCGGGAAATTCAGAACAGTTTGCAAACCTGCATGAGTCCAAAAGATTTCCACCAGTGTTTGTGGTATACAGTTAGGCACTTCTCTGTCGAACACAGGAGACCAGAGTTTGATTCCCGAGTGGGGAGAATTTTCAACTTGTAAGTATTTCAGTCTTTCTTTTGGGATGTTGTGTCCCATTTAGCCGGGATTAACCCAATAGGCAGTGTTGGAAGCCCATTTTCTAAATGATCAAAGTTGTGTTGATGGGGGAGTGAAAAAACACCTACGTTTAAAAAAAAGTTCATGGCTTGGCCATACCATGAGACTGTCCAGTATCTTCCACCATGAACTTTATAAGAATTTCATGAATTTGCCTGTGGGTCAGTATAAATTGTTCTTAACTTGTGAGTGTGATAATGATCAGCCTCGGAACTGGTGAAAAAGTATTTCTTTTGGCATTGCATACGAATGAACGCTTGTTAAGAAGCTCCCTACTGATGAGGATTGTGTGATTGAATGAAGATGTGTTGAGTAGCCAGAAGCCATCATGGTGGCACCGTGGTCTCTGTGAGAAGACAAAGTGCAAGTCACGCTTTCCTGGGTTCACATCCCTGAAGTTACTCATCAGGTCATTGTTACAGTTGAGAATATTATTTATTCTAGGCTTTATTTTAAACTATGTAGCTTTATTAAGCTTCTCATATTATTACTCATAGCTTTATTATATTCCTGTCTACATTTTTTTTTATCTTGCATGTGATCATTTATTTTGCTAAACCTTTCTCATCATGTTGAGATTACTAGTTGTTCACTGTCATCAGACATTGTTATAGGGTACTGTAATTTGTAATGAGATTTTGCTATTAGAAGCTGGTGCACATTTATTGTGGTGAGTTCAAAGAATAAGATAGGTATTGGCTGTGCAAAAACAAACGCTCAGTTCTGAATGATGAAGATGGAATGTACTGAATACAATTGTTGCATTTTGTTGTAAATTATTGACTGTTATGTGACACAAAAAATACATCTGCACTATTGTGTACAATTCCTTTTTTTGTCCACTTCTTGTGTTGCGAGCTACTCGGTTGTCTTTTGGGGTGGTAAACAGCTTAAGTTGGTGTGATTTGAGGGTGCTCGGATGTGGTTTGCTCCTTCCTTCCTATCAAACATTTATCATCCTCATCTCCCCTCCTCCTTTTTTTCGTGTTTGCTAATCACTTGTAACACCTTTAATCTGCGGCACTTATTATGACCTTATTGTGGTGCAAGTGCCGTAAAATGCTTACTAAAACAAACCAAAAAACCCAGCTCAAGTGGTTACTGATGGGGCAACAGCTTTTGTTGTTCTCAAGGACTGTGCCACCCTTCTTCATATCCATGTTACTATCAGTCTCATACAGACCTTCTCTCATCAATCTCTCACTGGCAAAATTGAAGGCAAATGAGGCAAGGATAGACCGTGAATGTCTAACTTGCAAAGTCTTAACAGAAGGATGACTAGGAAAGATAGGACATTTTTAAGAGCATCAGAGCAAAGGAAATAATGACAAACCATGATCACCCATGTCTTGTCACAGATCTGGTATTAGATGATGATCAGCCTGATTCCAGCTAACTGATCAAGAAGAGTGGCTCGCAGAGCCATCCAGCTCCATTTCACACCCATTACAGTTTAGTGCCCTCCATATGCATCAAAACTCTTAAGCCCCGGATACACACAACAATAAATTGTATGCAATTTGTCGTATGCGAGAACTGTCCGTTTTATCAAACTGTGTTGTCTGTGTAAACGTTCCAATTTATCGTCCAGTTTTCTTTTAATCGAGGAGATTCTCGTTTTAAAGCTACCATGTCTCTTTGCAACGAAAGCGATTTGCCTGCATTTTATGTGAAGGTTTAGAGCCCGGGACCTAATAAATAAAAGGCGAACACTATCTCAAGATAACGAGAGCCCCCAGCCCCCTCCCCTGTACATTTTGATAAATAGCAGAACAGTGTCTTTAGAAAAGAGTGGCCATACTGTACTGTGTCGCATGTAGAAGTAGAAACTTTGACTGGACTGCAGCAGATGTGCAGTGCACCGAGTGACCTTGATACAGAACTTTACCATTGACGATCAATTAAATAATAAAATTGCTAAAATTTACATAATATCACATCAAATCGGGTTTCGTGCGAGCTATTTAAGATGCCATAATTATTTTTAAAAGCGCCTTAAGTTTAATCCTGTGCAGAGGCAAATTTTAAAGTGATTCTTAGTCACAGCGTGTCTCCCCCAAATCTGAACGTAATAACGCGAAAAATTAGCGCTTGATTTCTTGACCGAGTCTCCAAGCCATCATCCAATTGTCCAAATTTGGTATAATTTTGTGGATACACCTAACGATTTATCGTATGATCGTTACGTCATCCAGTTTTAGTACAATTTATCGATATATGTGTAACTGGGCCACGAGGGGCCCTTCACATGTACGTTCCAACCAGGCGGTTTTAATCAGAGTGGGAACTGATGTTGAAACTGCCGCGTAAAACCGCCATTCGACAGGTCGGCGCATCATCCACATCTCGTGTAGTTTAACCGCAACGAGAGAACTGACAATGATGATTTGCTTGCAATTTATGTGCTGGTCGTGGTGAAGAAAAACAATAAGCAAAAAAAAAAATGGATGAAAGATTGGCTTCAGAAAAGAGATCATTGAACTATAGATCCACCAATGCAGGAATTATGACCTCATCCTAATGATTTCAGTAAAAAAATGTTTACGCATGTGCGTTTGTGTGTATGTGTGCAAGTGGAAAAAAAAGGGGGGGGGGAAGGTGCGGGCATACAAAGGATTTTAGTGATTTTTTGTATGTCTGTTTCCTTTTCTCTGTGTGCGCATGTAACAGATAGAGAGAGGGAGTGAGACAGAGAGAAATAACAAACCTGAAAAGTACCACAGCTTGGGCTTGTATACATCATCAGACCCAGCACCGGACAACTGGCTTCTCTCAACGTTTTTAAATTCCTTCTGGAATTACCCTCGCAGGTTACTAGTTTTTTTAATCACCGAGTCCTTGTTTGGGTTAGGTTCAAAGCTTCTTATAAAATCGATCAGATTTTCATATGCCCGTTCCTTCTCCAGGAGATTTGAATAGTCTTTGGATTTTATTTCCCAAAGGCTGTCATGGGATCTGTAAATTTCAATGAATTGAAGAATTTTCTTTTGCGACCATGTTGCCAATTTGCAGTATGTTTAGTTGTTTAGCTTGCGCAGGCAATCAAGTGTGTTCTTTAGATCAACTGCACATCGTGACACAGGCCAACACTGTTCTGAACCCCTTCACCTTCAGTGAATGCATGTATACATATATGTATGTATAATGTGGAATATTGTTTTCTCTTCAATTATTGAAAAACCGCAAATGCTCAGATCTTGCCTTAAAATTGGGTTGCTGGTTTAAAAAATATGTGTGGTAAATTGTTTTGAAGACATTGGCAGTGACAATATAAGCCGGCTTAGCCAGTGATGTCACGCAAACGTTGTCGTCGACGGAATGTGCTTAACTGTAGTAAAAAAATCCAACTTGTTGAAACAGCCGGTTCGGCCTCCCGGTTTAACTTTATTCTAGCAGTTTTTCATCCACATCTGCAGTTGTCGCTAGGTTTGCCTTTTCATTCTGAACCACCAGTTTGTAACATAGATGTGTAGGGCCTCTTATCAAATTCTGGCCAACTGCAAATAATCATATGTACAACAGAATGTTCTCGCAATAAAAGTTAAAAAACAAACAAACCCAAAGGCACATACACATTCTGCATCATGAGGTTTATTTCAGGGTTTTTTTTGTCAAAGACTACTATTGGTTGATGATATGACCAGCTAGAGAATAACTTAATAACAACAGATAAAATGATGATGGTGACAAACAGTGACCAATGAGAGAATGGTCCAAATGGTCGTGATATAACAGCTATGTACACCAACATACAGTATATGCAGCAAACTCATCAGTACTTCCCCACCCCTTCTCTCTCACTCCTCTCCAATCACCTCAGAAATAGCCACCATCACAGATTGTCCGAGTCACCACCTAATACAAAAACATCCATTAATTCACTTATGAGCTATGGGCTAGAAAACACAAGTCCTGGCAGCGATCTTAAGCAAACTACATAAAATAATAGGAACAATAATTCTTTAAAAGATAGGACTTAATTGTTGTGTCTCTGTACTCTGGTCTTGAGAATTATCTGAAGTAGCAGAGAACTGATCTAAAAATCTTGCAATGTGTTAGTAATTTTTACATCTGACGTATTTGCTTTTATTTTTCCCGAACTATTGAAACTAGTTAGAAGAATTTCAGAATACGAGCAAGATATTGACAGCCTGAAAAAGAGACAAAACTTTCTTCATAAATGGTGTTCACTTTTGATTCTGAAACGAAACAAAAACACAACCTCTCTCCCAAACTAACAACCATATCTTTGAACAGACTTTATAAAGTGAAAAGTATACAAATAGCATTGATTTTTCTAGCATTATCATAATACTATTATCAACAGATTAACCACCAAAAAAAAAGAAGGTAAATAAACAAAATTTAAAAAATAAAATAGCGCCAGGGGGTATAATAATAATCTACAGCCCCTCAAAAAGAATAGAAAAAAACATTCATTTTTGTGCCCTCTAAACAGACTAAAACAATTCAAATATCAAAGTACAAATAAAAAAAAAATCTCCCTTTAGACTTAACTGAAAAGGTGTGCAAGTAAGGACAAGTGGACCACAAAAAGAAAAATATAGCAAAATCTTTGCCAGGACAACACAGCAGCGAGCATTTATTGTCCTTTCACTCAAGAACATCAAGAGCAGACAACTCACCACAAAGGTATGCACACACAGGAGGAACCATGGCTATTAACAGACGACCAAAACTCGACAGTGTCAATAGGAAGGAAAACTAACACTTCCGTAATAAATACCCCCTACAGACTTTATTCAAAGGGTTATAAAATGACCCTCGAACCAGGAACTGACGTTGGAGTGTTTAACAAAACAAAAAAGCATTATGGTATCCATTCAGCAACAATACAAAATACTGGTACAAAAAGTTTCTTGGGATAAAATGACCATACAATTGGGGATAACTTATGTGTGTTTACAAAGACTACTTTTCATACAGTAACCCCCAGTCAGTATCTACCGCTAACGCCCACAAACAAGGGAAACAGAATCCTTTAAAATACAAATATACAAAAACTATATGAACTATTTGAATTAATTCACACAGACTTGCACTGCAATCTCGAGACATCTCCTCTCTTCCCCGGACTCTCAAAAGCAGTAATTCATTGATTTTAAAAAATGTTCTATGAATGCATTTAATAAAATCTCATTGAGATTGATTTTCTTTTTAAAAAAGGGATGAAAAAATTGCTGGCATTGTAATATATCTGCATCAAAATCACAAGTAAAAACAAAAGCATTTACAGTACGGAGCATGAAGATGCAGTCTTTTTTTTTTCTCTTCTGTACAAAAAAAATAAATGAAGTTTCACTTAAAGCACGAGACAACATTGAAAGGTTATATGTATCAAATCATCAATGGAATAGCAGTAAATATCCTCTGTACAATATACACATATCCATACTTAGAAAAAAAACCCCATAACAATCAGTTTTGACTAGCTGTACAGCAAACAAGTTTTCATGGGAAGGGGAGGAACATGCTGATTAAGAACTGATATATTTCCATACTATAATATGAACATGTCTGAAACATAGTGATATTATAACACAAGAAGACAGTGCAAAAACGTTGTGTCACGGCCTCAATACCAGTGCACAACACTATACAGAAAAACACGAGGAAAAAAACATCACTGAGGTTTGCTGATCCATGTGCCAAGATGAGAACAAAGATTTCTCTTCGTAACGAGAACTGACATGGGTTCCGAGATGAGTGAATGAAATTGCTTTCTGTGGCGCATCACAGTAAAATCTTTGGTAAAATTTGTCGATACATCTAGCGATAGGAGGGGGAGAAATCTGTGTCAACAAGCTGAGGGCAACGGTAGCCAATGTAAGGACCCCAAGTGCACCAATACCAACAAGAGTTCCCCCAAGGGGTCTGAAGACAGATGAGGAGCACACCACATTGCTTGTGAACTGCACCCTTACATACTCACACAACAGAACGCCTAAAATTGTATCAAAACATTGTCAAAATTGCCAAAAGTATGGCTGGGAATACTCTCCCTCTTCACAGACCTGACATCTACTGCTGCTATTTTAGATTTACAAATACTGAACCATACAGTACCTAGAAGAAAAAAAAGAAAGTCTGGGTGAGGGTGTGCTTTAAGTCCTTCCAATTTCCTCTTTTTTCACTTCCCAAATTCTATACATCAATTTCAGATTCCTATTGAAAACTACATTACTTCAGGTCACATTAATAAGTTTTAAGTGAACTGATGGTGACTTAAAATTAAAATTTTGCAGCTCTCATTTTTTTGTTCATAGAACCAGTCAACTGGTGTGTGTGTGTGTGCCTGCTGGAAAATGAAATTCCACAAAGCAGATGTCTGGGTTGTCATCTAGTGGAAACAACACAAGACTAAGAACACACATTGGAATCCAAACAGGCTTTCAAAGAGTTCCAGCACACTTCAAGATGAAATGGGAGCTTTTATGAGCAAAAAAAAAAAAAGGCCATGTGATCTTTGGTCCTCAAAAGAAACAAGTCTACCTAGGTATAGTGTTTACATATTTGTGCAGAATATAATATTATCACGAGAACAAAGTCCATGGAATTTCCCCCCTGTACATAAAATAAATATTTGATCTTTTCGCCAAACTCCTACTCATGTGTATACATTGTGCAAAGAGTGTGGACTAATCTCAGCCATTAAAGGAGGATTTTCTTTCATGCATGCGAGTGGATGGAGGATGCCACTGATTGGTCCATCTTTTCTTTACTCCTTTTGTTTCAGTCTGTTGATCTTTGTTTTTCCCTGCACTAAATGGCAGATGTGTCCATCTGCTTCCCTGTCATGCAACAAAGCCACAGAATGCAGCGGTTCAGACAATATCTCTGGCAATTATTTTGATAATAATAATAATAATCTATTTTCAGTTTGGTTCATACTACCCACCAGAGTCTGGGAGGCTCACAAATGACTAAAAATGAACTACCTCTACCAAACCTCACTGATTTTTACACATACAGAGATTATACAAATGTTTGCTGTGTGCTTGATGTCTTGTCACTTACACAAAAAATTTACCCAACACACAGCACATGAGAAGATGTAAAGAGACGACTTACAATAGCACAGAGCTGCCTCAGACAAATTTAGTCATAAACACTGAACCAAAGGTATCGGACAAGACCAGGCCATCAGATGTAGGTGTCTTTAAACATTGTCCAAAAACAGACGAGAGTACCTTTTTTTTCTTTCTTTTTTAATATCAAAAAGTTACATGTACAGGGCAGCTGCTGCTTCTATGAAATGTTCACAACATTATCTATTTTACCATTTTACCACAGAGGGGCGAGACAACGTATAAAGGCTGAAGACGTCACACCCCAGGTCTGAAACAAGAAACATTCATGATAAGAAAACAATCACACAATAGAATCGAGGACCTTTCTGAATCTGGTCGAGTCATCCGAGCACCCGTAACTCTAGCATCACTGGCCCATAAACAGGTGGGAGTCTTTTCAAACATGTGTGATGAGTGAGGAGAAGGTTTACTGTCTTGTCAATAAATTATCCAGGCTGTAGACCTCTATACATTAGGCTCAAATGTACTATACAATATATATGGACTGGCTCTTTGCTGCAAGGCAAAACATCGCAACCTGATGAGGGTTGTGATTTAAAGGGGCTGCAAGTGAGGGGACACTTGCTCAGGCTACAAAAAGGACAATATGTCTGTGGTCTCTATGCATCTCCTGTCATTCTGCTTGTCATACTGCAAGATTACTACAGCTTTCTTCTCCTCTCAATCCAAAGCAACATCCTGCTCCCTAATGATACTACGTTTCATTTGACATCCCAGAGGAAACGCTTTTGTTCTTTTATGATTCTCTTTGAGTGTCGGAATTCAATGTTCTATTTGTCAGCATTCTTATCTGAAAACTCAATGATCAGGAAATATTTCCAAGGGAAGTTCTCCCTTCCTCAACAATACGATGTCACTCTTTTTGACAGGCAGCAAATATCAGTACACTGACAACAGGGCCAGCAGACTAGAACTCAGTTCCGAAACTCGTGGCAGCTGAGGGAGCTTGGGAGGGTGCTTGAGAAGGTGTGGGAGAGAGAAAAGGGGGGGGGGGGGAGAGAGAGAGAGAGAGAGAGAGAGAGAGAGAGAGAGAGAGAGAGAGAGAGAGAGAGAGAGAGAGAGAGAGAGAGAGAGAGAGAGAAGAGAGAAGAGAGAGAGAAGAGAGAAAGGACACAAAAGAGGAAGAGCGAGTACCTCAGCAAACAGCAAGTCAGTCAGGGCAGAGGCTGGGTAGAGTGTAAGGGTCACAACCCACAGGCCACCACCAGCAGAACAACAGGACGGGTGTTGTTGAACTGTTCCCTTTGACTTATCTCCTCCTACTCCTCTCACCTGAACACATACATCAGTGCTCACAAGCTGTAGAGAAAACTTCATGTCCATGCCCCCCTGTCCATGTCAAGAACAAAAGTGTCATCACAGTCTGTTCACACCACCACATCATTATCCGCAGGCAGAAACACACACACACACGCATATATAGCGCTCAGTAAGTCCAGCAAGGTGAAGGCTGTACGTGTCTGTGTGGAAGAGAACCAATCGGAAGCCTCTCCTTTGATTCTGCACATTTGTGGACTTGCGCTTCTCATAGCACGGATTCAGCACTTTCTACTGAAATGCTTCAGGGACACAAGACGCTCGTTCTCTCCAGCCATGGCTGTGATTGTGGCTGTCAGGCCCATCGGCACACACAAGACAAGAGCAGATGGAAACCGATGCACTGAAGATATACAGGTCTCCACAATGGGCACCAGCTTTCCATTCTTCTCTCTCTCTCTTTCTCTCCACTTCCATTCACATCCTGTATATGAGTGAAAGACCAGTGGGTGAATTTCCCCGCTCCGCAGGGACAAACAGATCAGTCTGTGTCTTGTGCGACGCTCACACGAAAGCGTTGAGGGCATGGTATAGCTGCATGAGCACCACAAAGTGCACTGGCAGGCAAGAGCGGCGGTCGTTGAGCACAGGGTCAAAGGTCAGCCAGGAGAGGGCGTTGTAGTTTTCCAACACATACCTGGTGGGGTGACCAAAAAATTATTTAATTTACAATTCTCAATGAGACAGGATATTGAAATCATAGAACTTTTTTCCAAAAATTTAAAAAAAATACCGTAAGCCTAACAGAGCTCTACAAAACTTTAAGGGCTAGCCATCATCTTACGATGGAAATAATTTCATAACTGTTGCAAGAAAAAAAGAACATCTCTCTTAGGCCTTCCTTTACTGGGCAAGTAAAACTCAGTGGAGTAAATTTTTGTTCTTACAACCTCGACAATGTTCTCTACTTGAGATAAAAATCTGTCACTTTGTCAAGAATTCCACACGAGTGGTGGCTTACAAGACTGGCGCACGTCTACAAGACAAAATGAAAACATTTAAAATGAAAGGTTAGGTACCTGAGCACATCACAAGTCATGTGTGAGTCCAGGGCGTGCGGCTTGCTCCTGTTGTCGGTCTTGTGCAGGAAGTCGTCGTGTTTGGAGGACTCGTTGATGTGCAGAGCAGACTGAGAGACCACAGAAGAGAAATAATAACAGATTAATAGACTGCATTTACAAGGCACAAAGTCTTCTTGAAAAAAGACTCTATGCACTCAACAATTTATCAATATTACCCAACAGATCTTGGTTCATTCCCCAGCATTGTCAATTTTTTGGAAGCATTCACAGGTCAGAAATCAGTGACACGAAGCCCAAAAATATTCATCAACTGCCTCTCCTATCAATTCGACAGTAAAATGGCTTTCTCTCTGTGGGGATACTTTATAATACTGCCAACTTTTCAAATGATATATTCACTAATGGCTGATGAATAAGAATAGCTAGTCTGCAGGGCGACACTTTTACGAAATAAAGACTTTTTATGTTCGGCAGATAGCAGCATTTAGGACATACCGACTTCAATTCATTTAGCAAGACAAACAGAAATAACCCAACCCAACACCACCCAAAAAATAAAACTGCAAAAATAAACATTTACACAAAACCTCACAATTTACGCAAAAAATCAACAGACAAGAGACATGATGCATTCAATCACAGATTTCACCAAAAAAAACAACAGCAAACCCACACCAATATGAGATGAGGTGAACAGTAGTATATATGCGGCAGCCTTACCTTGAAGACATGAGGATTGGTAAACTCATTCTCCGGGCAGGCTGACCAAAACCACTTGGGCAGTGGGCCCGGTGGGGCAGTGGAGATGTAGTAGCCCATGGCCAGGGGCTGCTGGAGGAGGTTCACATCGTCCTGGGGGTCCAGCAGGTTCTCCGTCAGGCTCTGTGCACACAACACAATGCAACCTTGTCAGCAAACAATCAAGTCCATAGGTACAACCAGTAGGGTTAATAACAAGCAAAGCCCTTTAATGCAATTACTAGAAGAATACCATTTTTTAAAAACAGCCTCTACCATAACATCAGCATTTACAAGGAATCAGCTAAAAATCTACCAAAACTCCTTAATAAAGTAATTTGACTAATAGCATGGAAATTTCTTTCAATGTGTGGCTACAGGTTTTAAGTCCACCCTGACAGCCCACTTCAAAGAACACCCTGTTTGGGATTCAAATCACAACCATCCGCACAGTAGTCTAGCATGTGCCCCCATGACGATTCTCAGCACATTAGAAAAGAACAGCATTGCGTTACAAAACATTTCCATAAGCCAATTCAAGAAAAAAACATGAACAAGTGTTTTGCAAATTTTCACCCAAACTTTTGTGTAAGTGACAGATCAATGTGTCTGGCTGGAGGTGGCTGAAGAAGGTGCAACTACTTACGGCTGAAGGCCCATTTGTCTTTGAGAACGGCCTGTTGGTGTTGCTTGTGGGTGACACCGGAGGGCTGGTGGTCGGCGCGTCAAAGTTGTCGCCAAATATGTCCAGGAAGCCCCCCATGTCCTCCCCCATTTGGTTGATGTCGGAGAAAACATCATCTAGTTCTAAATGAGAGGTGAAGTCGTTCTGGGGGTCCTGCTGCAGAGGGTTGGCATTCACCTGTTGTAGCAAAAAGACAAATGTAAAGCTTGAAGAGGTTACAGTTGCTAACAGTATTCTTAATTCATAAAGGGTGCAAAAAAGATATTTTAAACATATCTTTTAAACCTTTCTATTCAAATGAGTATAACTCAGCCCGACACTTGCACTCTAGATAAAGCACAAGTTTTAAGTGGATATATCAGACTTATGGTTACCAGGGGGGGGAAAAATATTAAAGTACCATAAGATGATTCAATCTCTAAAATAAGCTTCCTAAAACAATCAAATCATGTTTTAATAGCTATTCCCACAGGCAGAGACAGCAGTAATTGGTTTTGTTTTGCTTTTAGAATAACCTGTGCTCATACTGTGAGTGAAGTGTACACCATACATTACTCACTATAGAAAAATTATCAACCTGTAATATTTACGTCGTTAATGACATATTTTCTTAGAATGTAAAATAGAAGAGTGAATTATCTTGTAAATAATCTATAAAATCTTCGATACAAATCAAGACAGATGTTTAATAACGTAAGTCGATTTCTAAAGAATGTCTTGTTCAGAAACGAGTCCTAAACATCTATAATTAATGCAGATAGCTGACCTGAGCGGTGGCAGAAGTGGGGAAGACCAGAATGTGGGTCACGCTGGCATCACGAGGTGTCTGTAATGGAATGCTGCTGCTCTGTTTCTCCTCCTGTTTCATAGCATCAACCACCACCTGCACGGAGAGAGTCATGGAATTGTATGTATGTTATCCGGTGAAAATCTGCACAGAGTTATTCTGAAAATCTCACAAGACACAATGTTTGAACAAATTCCAAAAGGCTCCACATTACAAAATATACATTAAAACAGAAACCATTTCATCACATTTTCCCCATAACAAAGAACTCCCGAACTTACACAACAGCATATCAGTCACAAAATTTTCATAAGCCATCCATCACAAGTGAAGAAAAAAGAAGACAAACCTGGAAGCTAGGATGTGTTTCCATGGATACGAGACAAGCACTCAGGACACAGGGCACCTCAGTGGGTCCCATGACGGAGCACTGACCACACATCTCCTTCAAGCGCCGCGAGGCACTCTGTAGGTTCTTCTTGCTCAGTAGACCAGACCAGCCTGGGGGATAGGAAGAGGAAACAAAAGGATAAAAACCCCACTTTCAATCTTACAAGAACAACTGAAGACACTGGCAAGACTGCTGACAACTTGCAAACTATCAGCCCCAAAGGTAAACATTACAGATTTACAAAAATAAAAAAAAATTCATATATACTTAAACACCCAAATAAACACACACACACACAAAGCACCTTATCAAAAGTTTTATTTGACACTGCCAGCTTATTCCCTACATACAAATGACTACAGAAAAACATGGCTACTTTCATAATTCACCCTCTTCATTCCTTACAACAGTCTTTTTCAGAACTGTAATTACACATCTGCAGTACAGAATGAGTTCACTTATTTTTTTAATAAAAAAAAAAAAGCCAAGACACCCCAAGGGGTCCCATTTACAAAACTACACAAAAAGACCTGTGAAGACTAAAAAATATAGCACAGTTTACCTTTGAGTTCTCCATGTCCCATGCGTCCGAACCGACCAATCACAAGACGGGATGGGTGAGACGTGAGGGCGACAACCCCTAAAATGAAGTCCCACAGTTTCTGCAGACCAGGGCGCCGAGCTGAGGCCTTTTTCCTACGATTCCTGCAAAAATAAAAGTGTGCATTGTCAGCAGGAAAAAATAGGAAGTGCATATGTCGGTTGAAGTCCCTAATTTTTAAGTCTTTCAATGCATGTTTCTCCCCCCCCCAAAGAGATAAAAACGGAATAACAATGAGGCAACACAAGCAGCTATTTATTCATCATTTTAGTTCCCATAATAATTCAATCTTTTTAAAACGATTTAACAACTAAACAATTCTAGAAACCAGTAAAGGCTCATAATATGGTGGGATAAAAGTGAGTCGTATAAACTTACTCTGAGGACAGCACATGCAGGGACTCCGAATGCATCCTCTGAACACAATCTTATACCACCAAAGAGCCATAACAAAAAAACAAAAAAAAGTGAAATGCATTCATTCATAATCAACACACAATTCCGATGCTGTAAACACAAAGCAAGACAAAATCTTTAAGAGCTTACACTTCAGCTTGAAAAGCATGACCTACCTGTTGGGAATCTCAATGTTGATGGTACTGTGCTCCATGAGCTCTCCCCGGTCGTCAGTGCAGACGGCCATCAACCACCTCTGGTCCTCCGACAGGCAGTAGCCACAGAATAGCACCGTCTGCTGGTCTGTCTTGGCCTCCATGATCTGGTTCTGCCGAGACTTGGTCGAAGCAAGGATGAAAGGAGGACTGTATAGCCTTAAGTTTTCCGCCTGAAATGTTCCAAGTCACATATGAGAATTTCTAGATTCATTTCAAACTGTGACAGATTTGTATAGAAGACCGCTGGACGAGGCACATAAAGTCTCTTTATACAATGAGAAGGTGATTATCTTTATTGTGTTTTTTTTTTCTCATCATGCAGCTTTCTTCAACGTATTTCCACTGCAGCTAGTTGTTGTTAGTTGTTTTTTTCCCTTTCTTTCCCTTAAAAATTCAGTTTAAAGCATGAATTCTGCAAAAGCGGGAGTAGGTTAAGAAACAACCATAGAGGAAAAGACTTTCAACTTGCGAAATGTATTTGTTCAAAGATATGAACATTTCTTTTACACCAGCGGGTGTAGGGGGGGGGGATCAAGACCCCTATCTGCTATACAAGGATATACATAACTTGCCCTGTGACATTCCATCACTTCATCTCAGTTTATGGTAGGTATGGTATGGATTTTCAAATCATTTTGCGGCCCTTTCAATTCTGCAAGGATGTTTATGAAGAGGGATCCAAAGGACAGAGCCAAGAGGGTAGAGGAGTGTGAGAACTGCTCAACCAACAAAGGTTAAGAACATCTCCTAAGATTTAAGAACCAGTGTCATCTGTACTGAAGTTAAGCATGATACCAACTAAGCTATCTTTGCATTCTCTTTAGTCCACAGAAGTACTTACCGCCTTCCTCTTCATAATTTCCTCAGCGGCAGCAGCAGGTCCAAAGCCTGTGAGGGACCTCCCCATGACGCTGTGTCCAAGCGTCCACTTAGAAGCAGTGAACACAGAGAAGGCAATGGACTTGAGAATCTGCAGCTTGCTGGCACTTTCTTTGTGCTCCAGGATGGTCCGCAGGGGGATCAGCTAACAAAAACAAACAAAAAATCATTTCAGCCACAACTGAACTGTAAACATTGGTCATTACTTAAAATATCGTCATGATAATTAACAAGTTTTTCCCCTCTGACTGTCACATAGAACTTCTTAGTAATAAAGCAGAAATTATTTACCAGAAACATTGAAATTTGCTAAGGCATATGGCTTTTCACATTGACAAATTGTCAAGACACGGGCAAATTCATATGCTGTCCATGTGGCAATAATCAATAGAAATTCCATGAGGACAGGATAAATTTAATTAAGAAAACTCATACCAGTCTCAGAGAGGAAGATAATGCCTCTTGCAAATATAAAACACAAAGCATGCCTTTCTATTATAAAAAAACAATAATACATTTTTAAGCATTCCTTTCTCCAAATCAAAAAGAAAAACCATTAACCACAAAGTGTTACTCACCTGCAAGCTCAGATTACTGGCCAGGTGGTCTGGCAAGACCATCTGCTGGTAACAGCGCAGCAAGCCAATCATGGCCATCCTAGAGATGGGGTCGCTGTCGTGGCCATAGGAGAATGGGTCCACCAGATAGACCACTATGCCTGGGGAGGAGCCGTTGTCTTCTGTGCCATCAGAGCCATCATGCTGTCCATCCTTGTGCTGTTGACCACCATCTCCTTGACCGTCTAAAAAGATTTTGTAAAAAAAAAAATTAAAGTTCACAATAATCATTTAAAAAACAACCTTCACATTCCTTTACTTCATGTTTTAAAAAACCCAAAGTAAACCCCTTAATGTTATTATATTTTAAATTTAGCTAAAGTAATAATAAGTATTTCAAAGACATAATTTCCCCCTGTAAGAGGTGAAGGTTACTCTGACCCATACAAAAGAGGACTGTCTTTAGCATTCTTTTCACTAAATAAAACTATCGTACATTCTACATAAAACAGACCCCCCCCCCCGAAAACCAACAAATGGTTAGAAAAAAACCCTTTGTTCTGTTGTTACAAATCCACCAGTAAAAATCAATCCCTACCAAAAAGTACTCCCAAGATGGAGTCAAAGTTACAGAAAACTTTCCTGCATTCTGAGTTCACAATACAATAACAGGGTGATAAGTTGTAAGGAGGGCAGGACGACCTCACCTTTCCCATCATCTCCTAGGTTCCCCTGAGAGTTGGGCCCACCACCAGCCCCCGAGTTCATCTGACTGTCTGGAGTGGCTGGCCGAGTGCTGCCCGGTGCTGGCTCAGGCATCTTGAACTGGGCCTTGTGTGAGCTGCTAGAGCCCTGGTCAAACATGCTCTTGTCCAGGTTGGGTGCAGACAGAATGGGAGCTGCAGATGGAGAGAAACGACTATGTCTATACTCATACCATTACTAAAATGTCAGAGAAACTCAAACAACAATGCTATATTACTGACAAACTGGCATTTGTGATGCAATGGTTGGGCTCTTCATCATTCAGTAGGTGTGGGATCTTGTATCCCACTCAGTCCTGGTTGGCTCCCATAAGCAGTGACAAAGCGTCCCCATCCCAAATTACCTAAATTGTGCTGTAGAAACATCACACTGACAGTTGGGGTAAGACAAAAGTAACACTGAAAAAAAAAAGAAAGTAAAAAAGAACTGCCCACACAAGAACAGTGCCCACACGAAGGCACCTGAACATTTTCTCCTCCTCCATGGAGTAGAGTAATTGCTTTCCTTTCCACTTTGTTTGAGAGAGTAGGCACAGATAGCCACAAAAGCAATCACACTTTCATTATCCTCATGATTTATTGTACACTCAAGTGCGTGATTTGATAGTCTACTTTGACAGAAAGCCAATCATTACAGCAGTGCACTTGAGAATACTTGACGATATAAAATAATACCAGAAAAATGATGGAAAGAGCTTACTTTTCATCAAAAAACAAAATACAATTTTGTTTCCCACAAATTACAAAATACCTTACTCGTCAAAGGAGAAGTACCTCAATACTGATTCAGTTATGTAGCAACTATAGGAAACCACTCACCAAGATGATGCTTGCAAACCTGGGCGTAGAGTTTCAGTTTTGATGCAACACTAGAATCACCTGTAGAGACATCAAGAATGTATTAACACCTCAGCTTGTAAATAGATAGGAAAATGTCAATACAAGCACTGATGAGAACTCATGAAAGGAAAGTTCTTCAAAATTTTTACCATCAAAATTACAGCTGTTTTCAATAAAGAAAAATAACTTGATGAATTTTTCAAATAGTTACACACCTTTATACTTGCCATTTACCTACGATTCAAGAAATAACCTACTGTCCAAAAATTAAAAAACAATCTGAAACAAACTATCTGATTGCACAAAGGCAGCAATGCATGAATGAACATGAAACATTTTTCTCTATTGTTGAACTCAAATGAAATAAAACTAGTGTGCCACATGTCCAAGTGTGATCGTCTTGAAGGGGATCAACAGTATTTCCCAATGCTGTTGCTCTTTAACAACATCATTAGGGTAATGGTTATGCTTTTCATCTCCGTGCGTGCAATTCTAGAGGTGGGAAGTAATTTTATAGTGTATTTATATATTTTCCTGGGATTCTGGAATCCACTCAGCCTGGACGGAATCTGACAGGCAGGTTAAATCAGCTTGCCACCATAACTCTTTAAACCCCATCGGACCGGCAGTAATAACCCTAATCCCATCGGACGCTGGGAGTGTCCGATACCAGTGACAACTGTTTTGTTTTATTTAGTGCTACTGTTTGCTTGTTTTTCAAAACTATTCCCAATCCAAGTTTTTTAAACTAATGAATAAGCCTTTGTTGCCGCCGTTTAGAAGTTGGAGGCAGGCTTTTGGGGTTATAATGAGACATAGTGCACCAAATTTAGGTGACTGCAGAAAAGACTCTGGGAAACGGTGGAAAAAACTCAGGGTTCAGAGAGTTATGAATTTAAGTTGTGTTGATAAGGCTGCAAAACATATATATAAAAATTGAAATTATAAGCTCCCAGAAACATACCCAGCATGGTGAACCACTCGTCCATAGGCTCGTCCATCAACCGGGCCGCAGCACTCCGGCCCACGCGCAGCACCCCGTCGCGCAGCACTTTGCTGATGGCGCAGTGTCGACCCAGCCGGCACATCTCGTACACTGTGCTCAGCTCCTTGAAGAAGGAGACCACGTGCTTGAGCACCATCTCATTGTCAGGGGCAACCACCACATACAAAACGTCTCGCATGCGTCCATAGGGCTCGAGGAACTGCTTGTCCTGTGCAGACAAAATAGGAAATTTGAGTAGTTTTCGTATGAAGATATAAAGACAGGTGTCAACAGTCCCTTAGAGCTGGGAACGAGCAAGGTGGACTGACAGACAAAAAAAAAAAAAAAATAGAAGGTAAAGAAGTAGGACATTATAATTACACTGCGCAAGACAGCCACTGTTTTCTTCCAATAACAACAGACAATTTTCACTGTATACTGACACACACACAAAAACTAAACCCCCCCCCCCCCCCCCCAATGAAAACCTCACTACTACTGACAACAATACATGAACCCTGTCATACTTTTGTTGCAAATTGCAATTTCTTCATCGTTGGATCATGTTCTGGGGTTTTACCGTATGTACCTGGCGCACTTAACCATTACTCCTCAGCCCACTCAGAAAGCAGTGGTGCAAATCTAGTAGTTCACACAATGAAATTTCAGCACAAAAGTCATACGAGATTGAGGGGAGGGCGCACGCCAAGGCTCAAAAGACGATTATTCAAAACTGACAGCACTTACCACGACCGGCCAGCTCGTGAAAGTCTTTCCAGCTGATAGGTCCCTGCAGCTTGTAGGTGTTCTCCCAGAGCCGTGTGACGCGCTTGTTCTGGATGGCGTTCTGCAGGATGGGGTGCAGTGACTTCAGACACTGGATCATGTCCTGGGAGTTGCTGGGCACACAGCTGGCACCTGACAATAGATAAATGGAGAGTTGCTGAGAATTCAGAGAGAGAAAAAACTCATCAACTTGACAAGAAAAATATATCATTGATGCTGATAGAAAAAATAAGGACTTCGTTTTACCATGTTTTAAATAGCCAGCGAAAGAAATTGGAGTTAAGCACTCAATTTTCTTGTGACAGCAAAGATATGCTACAATGACTTCAGTTTGCTTCTGTCGTAAGAAAGCCTGGGACCACAAATGACTATATTCATAATGAAAACACAAAAACCCTCCCATAAATGGTCATGTAAGAAGCAACTGGGAAGACTAGATTATGTTAGTTTTAACTACATAATCATACTACAAACTACAGCTTAATTCTTTATTTAAAACTCTCAATCTCCAGAGAAACAATGACTTTATAGGAATGTGCCCTTCTCGAATGCAAAGCAAGCCGTTTCACACCAACCACAAAGTCATAAAAACTATAAAAACCAGTTAAAACTACTAGTTAACAATATCACAGGCAACAGAACTTTGCAACCAATTAGATGACAGAAAGACCAAGTAGTAAGTCCTCAGTCACATGAGTGGATACTTACATGCTGGAAGAACAGACAAAAAGCCGACACACAGGCAAAAAAACTCACCCCTGAGGTAAGGCCACTTGTGTAGACAGTTTGCCTTGGGGGCGTGATCTTCAAACCTATTGGAGAAGCAGTGGTCCATGGCCACTTCCAGGGCTTGGCACACCACATCGTTGGCATCTAGGGAACACACCCACACAATATCACACATTAACACTCAGAATCTCATACCCAGGTTATACTTGGGCAATTAAAATTTATCAAGAACCAATAAAGAAAGAACCTACATTTGGCATAGTACATGTACGTAACTCTTCAGAATCTTTTTAGATAAAGAAATTTCTGTTTTGATGTAAAGACTAATTTAGTGATGTATATTTAGATTTCGTATCAATAGAGAGAGCCCCCAACCCCCCAAATCTCCTTTTCCATCTTTATAATCAACACACAGGATGACTCCCTGTCACCTACCCCTGATTTGCAACAGATCTATAGAGCTGGTCTGGTAGTTGGTGTCTGCAGCCATGCTGAGTGTGCTGAGGTGGTGGCTACCCACACAAGACAGGAATGGGGAGGCGTACTGATCTAACAGCTGCTGTAGAACCTGAAAGAAGTTTCCATAAGATAAAAAATAATTACAAAACAGCTTCATAAAAACCATCAAAGTTTGGTTTCTGAAACACAAAGCCAGGACAAAGCACTGAGAATCTATTTGTTATTCAAACTATTTACAAAAAATCAATCATGCTTAACGGGAGGAGCTACCCTCGAGGACCATTTTCTATGTTTGTTGCCCAAGATCAAATCTAAGTACACATATAAGTTAGGCATTGTAAAATCTCTTGATACGCAAATTAATTTTGGCATAGTTACAGCAAGTGCTATGGAAACGGCCGCCATCTTGAAAATAAACAATGGAATTTCAAATCCCAAAGGCTTTCTTATTTACTTACCAAAATTGGCAAATTTGGTGAGAGTATACTTGAACCAGACCCTATCAGAGTAACAGCAAGTTTTTTCAATGAGTGCGAAAGAAAAAAAAGTGAGAACTTTCCCAAAGTACAAAAATTTTTTCTTCTAAATTTAGGTTGCATAATCGCTTGCCAATGGAAAAGTGTTATTGTTTTCGCAAATATCCCTCCGAAGTTTCATGTCAAAAGGACGAAAACTTAAGGAAGGAGTAGGGGGAAAAAAAACAAAAAAAAAAAACAACTTTAACTCAAATATGAGTGACAGTACAGAGAGAACCAATAACACCCCAATTCCACTGGTTAATAACAAAACCACAGGGGGAAAAAAAAATGAAAAACAAGTTCTATCTTAAAAATCCATCACTTGTTCATGCAAAAGGGAATGCAATTTCCTCCCCTCCTTATTTATCGAGCAGACTCACCTGAGGGTTTAAGTCTTCTGTCCGAGAAGAAGCGTCTCCACTGGCCTTGGGGGAGTTGGGCTGGGCCAGCGGCGGCTTGCGCACCTCATAACGGTCGTGGCGATAACCAGTGATCTCCACCTCGTCCTCGTAGAAGAGGCCAGAGTCATAGCCAAAGCGACGATTGATGGCCGCGCTGAAAGCACAGGTACACTTGTACCCTGAGGATGAGCCCTTGCTGGTATCTGGGAGGTACACACTCACATCGCTGCCTGGAGACACAAACAAGACGGAAGGCCCATTTAAGATTTAGCTTTAACTTACAGCAATATCAATTCTACATGAAAAAAAAAAAATGGACAGGACAGAAGAGTTAATTTATTTGAGGCTATTACATTTTTTCCCCAGTCATAGGTGAACGTGTTATTACTTCAGGACAAGTGCTAATAAACAAGTCCCACATGCCATTCCCCAGTCTACTCACCATTGATGTCTACATTGCACACACAGATGTTACAGCTGTCAAAATTGTGATCTTTGAAGAGGTTCAGGAAAGAGTCCGACAGTAACACATTCAACAACAAACTGTTGGCCTGCAAAGAAAAAATCAAAAACGTGAGTAAAAAGTATGTACGTAGACATCTTGAACATGCACATCTGTTGAAAGCTAACCAAACTATCAAATTCTATATTTTGTGTAGTCCAAGCTATGGTCACTTTTAAAATAATCTAAATTGTGTAAACAGCGGAGTAAAACAAAACTAGAACCCAACACTAAAGACGTGCACCTTAAGACATGAACACCACAAAAGAAGGAAAAAATAAATTTACCCACAAGATCATCTCTTTTTAGTTTTAGTAGAGGTTTTACGGCACTTGCAACTGCATATGGTCATATGAGCACCAAGGGATGGATGTCAACAGACAAGTCCTTACAGGGAATCAAACTTACTCTTCTCACCTCTCTAGCTTCAGCAGCACATAGTCTGTTTCGACTATCAAGGCACCCCGGAAATAGCGGGTCACAAGAATGTGACAAACATACAAAAGAAGTAGAGGAAAATGATGATAGTAAGGATTAGGAAAGAAAAAGCAGCAGTTCCCTGTTGTAGTTCAGGCACAATTATGAACATGACATTGTTACATAAGCCCATTTACAATTCTACAGTGCACTAGAACGAGAAATGTCCCCCCTTTAGGAAAGGCCTAAAGACACTTCAGTCAGTGGCACCGCCCCAGGTGGGGATAAGATCATCTCTGAAAAACAGAACGATATCAGAAATGAACACACACACACAAAAAAAAAGGGAAGAAAGAAAGAGAAGAAAAAAGAACTTTACGTATAAGAAATACACCTTTTACATACAACAACAAAAATTACCTCTGGCAGTTGACTATTGGTGCCATGGTTATCAATGGAATTGTTGGTTTTATTGAGGTAGGAGGAAGAGTTTGAGGCTGGTGAGGTCAGCTCGGCATAGCTCAAGGGCGTCCTCTGCTGACTGTTGTTGTAGATAGCTGGACTGGCATCTATGCCTGCCCCCGAGCCCACCGTGCGGATGGAGGAGATGTTCTCTACACTGGGTATGTTCACATAGTGGCTGCGGAGGGGATGGAGGGAAGGAGAGCATTTCGTGAACTTTCTGCCTTGAGAAAAGCACTAACCACAAAACGAATTTGTTTATTGGACAGAAAATATGCAAAACAACATAATGTAAACGTCAGTAAGTCTTGCTCCTTTGGACTCCTTACAAATAAACTGTTCCCCCATTATTTTGTGGCAGATGTTTAAATGACTTTATTACACAATGGCAATTTAAAAAATAAAAAAAACTATCACAAAATTCAGGAGCCTAAATGACATGTTGTCACTTTTAAAAACGATCAAAGGTGCCTTTAATAATTTTTTCTTTACAAAAAAAAATAATAAAAAAAAAAACCATTGAAAAAAATCTGAAATCGAAATCTGGTCTGGTTTTTGTTTGTTTTGGGATTATTATTTTTCCCCCCCCCATAAAAATAAGAGAAAGCAAGCATTTGTAACAAAAAGATCCAAGCAAGAGAGAGCAAGGAACAGCTGAGTGCTCACGTTCTATGAGCTTGCTGGACATCCATCATGGGCATGCTCATGTTCCACGAGGGTTTGTAGTCTTGCACAGTGGACACAGGTGACAGCTGACCACTGGGCAGTTCTACGGCAGAGTATTTGCTGGAGCCCACAGCCTCTATAGTCTGGGCGGGCACAAAGACATCGCACTGAAAATGGAACAAAGTACAGGTTATGCCACTTTCAGACACATCATTTTTTAGAATAATTTGTCACTTGACACCAATAAGTTATTAACAAAACAGCACATCATTGTGACACTTTTAAATAAGAGCCATAAAAAAACCCTGTTATAAGGATACACAAAAGCAAATTGCAAAAATATGGCACTTCCACTAATTCTTAAATCACATTATAAAAATGTTAGAGCTTTCTATGGTATTTCAGGGACACCGGAAATCAGTTGACCAGACTCTTTTTGTCTGGGCAGTAGGAATGGAACTCACCTTGACATTAGTAATAGGGTCCACCACAGAAGGAACTGAGCTCTCCACTGTGTTGTGAAAAGCCACTATCGAGCCACCAGTGAGCATGGCCTCGTTTGTGCTCTCTGTCATGGTCTCCGGCGAGTGAGATTTGTTCGTTTCGTGGGAAGGAGGCGTTGGGTACATGCGGGCCAGGTCCAAAGGTGCTGCAACATCAAAACATCAATACAGTTGAAAACCAGTGTTAAAGGTCTAGCAGTAATATGTTGAATAGCAGTCTAGTGAACTTTGTTCAGGAAACAATTGGCATCCTAGTTACTGGGCAAAACATATCATCTTAGAAAAATGAGAAACTCCCGTTGGAACTGCTGTACAAAGTGAATAAAAATCATTTGAATTAATTTTCCCCCAACGTAAGCAAATATATTCACTTCCCACAAACAAGATGATCATCCGAAAAGACAGAATTCCAAGACCTATGAAGTACATAATCCACGAACAATCCTTCACTTTGAAACTTATACATATCACTTTTCAAGTATACTCTTTAGTCACTGATTTTGTAGCGACTGACCTTTTCTGAATGCACATGCTAAAACAAGCATCCTCACCAGTGCAAAGTCACTAGATGTCAAACAACAAACAATGCGCATACTGTGTGAGAAAAGAGTCAGCAATGGTGTTTCAAAAGGTAATCAACTCACCCAAAGCACCAAGTGAACCATTGGGTATGCGTGTCAGTTTTGTCTGGTCATCTGTTGATTTACTGCCCACTCCAGAGTCCAAGGCCTGAAACACAAACAACCCAAAATGCATTCATTCCAACAACAAAATCATTCAGTTGCTGGAACAATAACAAATGTCCTCTGTACCCAATCAAGGTGAACATAAGACTTTAAAAATAGCATGTGAAAGAATGAACATTCTGGACAAGTGAAACAATGGAGACAAAACTGCACTAGAAAACATCGACAACCCTGCTTGAGAAACAGTAGCCAGCCAAGAGATCTGAACCATACCAGTTGATTTCTCCTTTTTTAAAAATACACTTTTGTCCAATTGTCAGCAACAGAAGGAGTAGCAAAATATTGCCACTGACAGATAAATAAAAATGTAAAGTAAACCTTTCCCAGTGGGGAAGGACTAAGTCCTCTACTCCTCTACTTTAAAGAATTTCACATCAACGATTTAAGAGAATAGTGAAAGAGACTGAAGACTGAGTAAAGAGAACATAAACACAACAATGGTCATCTAGAGCGGAGAAAGAGCAAGACAGATGGAAATAAACACCAGAAAGAAGGTAAAGAATAACCTACCAATGGTGCCCTCCAACCACCTGAAAAAGCCACACTAAGACATGGTTATATGAACAATAGGCGATAACTTACCCCACCATCCTCATCTTCCTCGGAGGAATCTGACTGGAAGATCTGCTGGAGGTCTTGCGCTATGCCCTTGACCCTCAGGTCCCGTTCCCTTGTCAGGCTGCCTCCGGGGGTCAGTGGAGAGGACAGCTGGGCCAAATCTGAGGACATAAGACACAGGAGTGCAAGTTAATAGTCCCTGAATAATACAGTACAGACACACAACACCAACACAGTGAAAATCAAACATTCATTTTGATTTGACTTGTCAATGTAGTTTACATCGAGGACAGAAGCCATAATATTTCGTTATTAGCTTTTCATAACAATAATGCTGATAGGGAGGAGGAGCTGACAATTCATCAACAATCTGTTTTTCTAAAAAGAAAAAGACAAGGAAAGAAAAGAAAAGGCAGTCTAAATGACGAGAGGTCATACTGAACAAATTCATTACATAGAACATTCAGAAAAACTTGTCAGGGACCAGAGAGAGAAACATTTCATCCTTGAAACAGGAGTTGGGCTTATTTGCTGACATCAACTGCCCTGATATTTCTAATCAAAGGCAACAAAATTTAAAATTGACGAAAACACTAAATCAAAGCACTGATGTGCAAGCTCTATCTCATTGTACAATTTTTTTTTTAAATAACAAAACAAAACAAAAAATTACAACAACAAAACAACCCCCCCCCCCAAAAAAAAACAACAACAACAACCCAACAACAACCCTCATGCAAGTACAACAACAGCATGCACACATCGACAATCCTCCCACGAACCACTGAAAACATGATATGTAACTCGGAAGCAAAAAACATTTCCAAGGATCAAAATTAGGGGCTTGAAGCTGAATCAGAATATCTACACCAAAAATTAGAGATGGGTTCCTTGCGTTTCCATTTCTCTCTTACTCCTACTCGATTTTCATTACACGGACTGACTTCCCAACAGACTTTAAAATTTTCAAGGGATACATAAAGCTGACAACACAACCAACACCCCCCCCCCCACACACACATCCATTCCTAAACCAGTTTCCCAAGAGGGACAAAGGGGAGAAGAGTAAAAATGACACACAGAGTTACAACAGCTATAGGTAAGAACGTGGAGAGCACCTTGCTCACCGTTGGTGGCCTCCTCCTTCACCGTCACAGGGTCCAGGTTACCTTGACGAGCTGCTGGTTGACTTTCCTCCTCCTAGGGAAAAAATCATCGAAACAATTGAACAGATCAGAAAAATTATGGCTTGTAAAAAATGTTCCAGTACGACAGAAACAAAGTATGGATTATGGGATGTTTGAGAGAGTATGCGGTGGTGCCAAAGGAAAGAGAATAGAGCAATGACACCTCCTCCCTAGTCTGAAGTGCGCAACGATAATACAGAACGGAAAAACAAAAAATGAAAGAAAGGTATTCTTGATCAGGCAATAAATTCACGAGCTAGAAAAATAAGGAAAAAAAAGGGTGAAGAAAGTTTTTTCCCCATTAAAAAAGAATAACATGTACAACATTTTAATATTAACGCAACCAGCCACACTGTTTTGTTTCTTTTCAACACAGCTGTGAAAAGCAAACACACACAGTACAAACAGCAGGCACACACGCATATTTTTACGAACACCCACACGACAAATACAAAAATTCAACCTGAAGAATGTTATTTGTAGCATTAAGTTATTTTCTTTAATAGCATGTTCGAAGAGAACATGTGTGCCTATGCCTCTCATAAAGCATTAACATATTAATGACCAGCCCTCCTTAAACTGGAAAACCATGGCTTCCTAAGATACTTTCTTTGAAAAAAAAAACTACCTCATTATTATGACTAAAATAGTTACCTTACAGTGCCAAGGAAACACCCCAAGAAATGCATGTACTTTTGTTTTGAGAATAACTTCTAAAGCCATCTGGATTTGAAAAAGACCCAATCAAACTGATTTGTAATAAAAGAATTTTTCAGTATGTTTGTCACTGGTTTCGAAGGAATATCTCCACTAACCACTTTGCCAAGGGGGGACGGGCGAGCCATTCCATCATCTCTTCCATCTCGACTCGGCCTTGACCTAGTGGTCAGTGTCTTGGGATCCTTGGAGGCCTCGTCAGAGAACTCGTAAGGGTCCGGGTCAGGTGGGGAGGGACTCCGCATCATGGGGGCCAAGCGGGAGTGGGAAGCAAAACTGGAGCTAGGGGAGATGAGGTCCCCAGACATACTGTCCCCCATGGACTCCAAGCGACATTTTTTCAGAGGTAGATTGATCCTGTAGGGAAGAAATTATGTTCATATTAACCAAATGTGCATATGGGAGCTGTTTTCAATGAATTTCTATTTTTGATTGATCCTTTATGAGCCCAACAGAAAGTTTCAAACTTTGGAACCACCCACAGAAATATTCGGACAATAGATTCTCATTTATGAAAAAGTAAATGCAAATTTTAACAACGAATAAATAATGTAGTCTTGCTGACCTCTACTAAAACAACACAAAACAAAGATTTAAAAAAACAACCAAACCAAAACAACCTTCTAACACAAAGACACATTCATAAAATGTATGGCTAAAAGAAAAACTAGCTGGGAAGCAAAACCTGGAGACCGACTTTGGTAATTACATTTGAAAAGTTGTAGACCAAAGCAGAAAAAGAAAAATGCATCTCAGGGAAATGCCAATTCTTGAAAGACCCCCAACAAAAAGTTATAAGCCCAGTGTCTTGAAGGCATATATGTGAGGGAAGCTTCTGTTCCAATCTAACTTCATCTTTAAAAAAAAATTCAACAAAAACAGGGAGCTACACACTGATGACCAGCAATGATGAGTTAAAGTTTCATTAACTACTGTATGTTTGAACTCGTGTAAATATGCAAGTTGTAGTTGTTTTGAGTAGAGAGAAGCAATCCACATAATAACAGCCATTTAGTGAAGGGAGAAAGCAATACAGACAGAAAAAACAGATAGAAAACAGAAGTAAATGAACCAGTCAGTACCCTCCAACCACCCACATGCATGTATGTCATTGTGAATTTTTCCAACAGGCATCAACAAAATTGGGTGGGTATACATATGAATATATATGGTAAAAACCTGCTGTAACGGCCAACTTTCCAAGACAATCACCCGTAAAAACTAACAATTCCTACACTCCCCCTTGCCTTTGTAATATAATGACACTGTCCAAGAGAACCACCTGTCTCAGATGACATTTAACCTCGTAAATAGGAGGTTGTCTTGGAAAGGGTGAGCTGTATATAAATATATTGTATACTATTTTTCAAAACTTGCCATAAATTCAAGGTGTCAAAGTCGTAGAGAGAATCCACGGGCTGCTCCGAATCACTATCAGATCCTTTGGTGGGCAAGTGTGGCCTCTTCAAGTTCGACTCAAACACCCTCTCTTGCAGCTTGTCGCTGACCACCCGCTGCTGGTGCGAGTGCACCCAGTGGCTCACACTTTCCGTCTTGGTGGTAGTGGAGCTCCAGGAGAACTGCTGAGCCTCTCCCGGCACCACCACACCCACCACACCACCACCGGGCTTGGCTGCTGTTGCTGCAGTTGAGGAGGAGCAGGAGGGGTCCTCGCCGCCACCACCACCGCTACCACCACCTTTGGACAAGGCCTCCCCAAACAAGTTTGTTGTGGTTGCTGTTGCGTTCAGAGCACTAGCACCGCCCACCACCACTTCTGTGCCACCGGTGGTGGTGGTAATGCTGGGTACTGTCACTGTTGCCATTGACGACGAAATATTACTAGAATTATTATTACTACCGTTGTTGGTGCTGCCGAGAGCGTTAGGCAAAGTGGTGTTCACACTGATACTGCTGCCGTTTGCACTACCACTGTTGGCACCATTGCTGCCGTTGCCACCATTAGCTGCAGGTGCTGCCGCTGTGGCCGTTGCTGTGTGACCAGACTCACCGCTGCCAGCACCAGAACATCCCGCCACCGCAGTGGGGCAGCGGTTGTTACCATCCCCTGGTACTTTGCTGGGCGGGTGCGGGCTAAGCGTGGGCATGGTTGGGTCCATGGTGGTGGAGGAGGTTGGGGGTTGGGGCTCGTCCAGCGGCGATGGTGCCGAGTTAGGCGTGTCCACAGGGAGAACGCTGTCGTGCATCGGGGTGCTGCTGCGGCCCTGCGGCGTGGTGGTGCTGCTGTTGCTGCTGCTGCTGGCCATGGTGGTGGTGCCCGTGGGGCAGAAGGCCGGGTTTGGCTGGGTGGCAGGCAGGCTGTGCGCCATCATGCCCTCCACGTCAAACTGCAGCAGGTCGTCCATCTGGTGGCCACGGCGATGGAAGGGCACCGAGTTGCGACTGTGACGACTAAGCTGGCGCTCCAGTTTGTCTGGCTTCTCTCCCTTTCCGTGCTTCCCACCCAGAGCACCTTTACCCTGAGCTTTCTTGCGATGCCTGCGACAAATTTAGACAGCAAAAATGATGCATTATTTCACCAGTATGCCTACAAGAAATTATGCCAAAAATCTGCATTTAAGATAACCAAACAAAAAATGTTAGGCATAATAAACCCATCTTTGATAACACAAACAATATCATCTTTCATGCCAGCAGGCAGAACAATCGCATCCATGTGTGCAAAGAATAACACACAACACAACTGTGCTGTCTGAGGCCTTATACTGAGCAGTAGGTGAACACGCTCATGGCAGGGCTGGTCAGAGGACGCTCCACTGACCTTCGTGACCGGCCCTGGTTTGATAGGAATAAAGGAAGGAACAAACCACACCAGCTGACAACCCACTAAAGTTTCAAGCTCCAGGTCCCAAGAAAAACAAAAAAACTTCAATTTTAGCGGAAATTGTACAAATTTATTACCCCTTTTCTCTCTTTGCTATACCAGGCTAACCCATGCAGCAATGAAGGTGTGAAAATCTGTGCCAAATACAAAATTCAGTTGAAACAAAACCCCAACAACTATGTACCATCCATCACACAGAAAAACAGAGGTAAGAAAAAAAAAGTGGGAGTCCCATACTTGACACAGTTGCAGTTGACTTTACTGGCCGGGTCAGTGAAGTTCCATGTACCCACAGGCGACTGCTGGGAATGCTGCTGTCCCTCTTCCACATTGTTAGTGTCTGACATTCTGAAACACATGAGGGTAATGACTGTAATGATTGTAAACATTTTACATCCTGACTGACACAACTTAGACTTAGATCAATTTGGGAGTGGATGCTTAAACTCTGATTAGCAAGGGCAAACCCCAGCAAAGTATGATGCAACATCCCAGCAGACAAACTGAGATCCTCAACGGAAAAAATTTTCTCACATGGGATTCAAACTCACATCTGTGACTAACAGAGAATTGGACAAACCTGTTTTGAATTTTTATCTGTTTGAAAAGGCTAGTCCTTGCGGCTGACAAAAAAAATTCATGGAGTACACAAGAAACATGACAATAGATTATTGTACAGTGATTGATAAAGTGAGACGCTAAATGACAATACCAATACAGCAGTAAAGATGTTCATGAAACACAGTAGGTAAAGATTGTAACAAAACTTATGAGCATGACATGGCATTGGTGACAATCTCTCCATTTTTGTTATTGTCTGTTTTAATCTAATGTTTATCAGGTTTATTTTGTTCCATCACTTACTCACTGACTTCACACATTTACAACAATCAAACCATGAAAAGATGGTAAAATCTACATGAATGGCGAAAGAAAGGCAGTAGCCCTCAATGTTTTTCAATTACTATTGCTGATTTCTTCTCCCCCCCCCTGTAATTTTCAAAAGCAGACTACCTAAAATTGATAAAATAAGAACAGAGGCAGATTAGGAAAAAATTTGACGTCTTTTTGGAAAATTATGGAAAGGACTCAGCCTTTAAGTTACTCTTGAAACACATATACAACCATCCAAAGCAGTTGCTACAACGCTGAGCCTTACTCTTAGGAGCAGAGCAGAAAACTGCAGCCTTTGAACTCACATTATAACTTTACGAAATAATTCAATAACAATACAATGGCTGAACAAAACAAAGGGAAAAAAAACCTGACGTAAAGGAAAGGTGACACAACCAAAACCAAGGAATTTAACTTTCGTTGCAAATTAACATTTAAGATTTAGAGACATCAATTTTTGCTCAGTACAAGAAGAACAAAAAGGTTGTGATTGTGAGACTGTCTAACCTACACAAAAAAAACCCCCATGTTCACTAACCTCTTATTGACAGCCAGGTTGAGGCAAGCGTCCTGCCGCACTTTCTCAGCCAGTTGGTAGCCCAGCACGTCAGCCTTAGTGCCGGAGACAGAGGGTAGCCCATCACCCTGGCCTGCCATCAGCGGCCCCACCTTCATTCCATGGTGGTCCGTGCCCACCAGTGGGTCTCCAGGGGAGGCGGGAGGAGACAAGTGCTGGTACTGTGACGTGGACCGACCAAAGGCACCAGGGCGGCTGTGGTGGGGCGGAGGCAGCGAGGTCGGATGCATTGGCTGCAGCACGCTGTTGCTGGTGTGCATGTCCTCATTGTCACACACCAGCACGTAGCATGATGGGTACCGCATCCTGGTGTTGCCTGGGAAAAAGCGAAGAGAATGAGTTTAAATAAAGAGTAGCAGATTCAAACAACGGCCATTTACTGGAGAAGACAAAAAGAGACAAAGTCAGACAGAAACAAATCATGGAAAGAGCAAGAGTGGGACTCCACTAGCGGCACTCCAAAACCATCTGCAGACTAATGAGTTAAAGTAGTCTATTGAAATTTTAAAAATGTAAGAAACCTTAGCATTCTTGCATGCCTCGGTCACTGACACAGACTGAACAGAGAGTAAACCTTTTAACAGGCATAGAGAGGTGACAAAAATTAAAGAATCAAAACCTAGATTTTTCTGACTCTGTGGATATATGCCATCTAATAATTCATCTTATATCAAAACCATTTTTACATTAAGTGCTATAAAGTGCAGAAAATCAGAACCTCTGCAGAATACTCCTAGACAATGCACAAAAAGAATGTATCTATGACATCAATCGAACGATAAAGAAACAAAACATACTGGGTTATTCCAACAGCTGTAGCCTTTCCAGGGAAAAAAACCCAAAACCCCTAAACAGAAAACTAAAATACATGTACACATTATCATTCCGCAGCTCTCCATGATCTTGGCCTGTAAGCCTATAGCTCTAAACTCTAACTAAGCAAAACAGTTTTTGAGTGAAAACATCCAAATAAAACAAAGATGCAAAATGCACTTGACATTTTAACCCTTGCGGTCCAACTAGTAAATAGAACCCCGCCCACCACCACCCCTCCCCTTCCCAAACCAACCAAAATAAACATCATCCCTCTGCTGCTCCGGTGTCTCCATGAACCAGGAATGTAATCTATGGCTAAATATGCTGGACACTTACCCACAATGACCTCCACCATGTTGGGCAGTTTGCTGCCAGTCAAGTCCTCCCTCGCCGTCTCCTTGATGGGATAGTAGCCGGCCCAGTCGGAAAACATTTTGGTGGTTGTTCCTGTTGGGTCATTGTCACAGTAGGTAACGCCTGTCAGGACCCCACTCAGTCCATGAGGAGCAAGAATAACTAGGGAAGAAGAGAAAAAAAATTCATATTATTATGGGTAAACCAAAAGCAAAACGATTTTCACCCTAAAACGTGTACATTTTTACAAGCAAGCCAAAACAAAAGATCTTTACTCATGTGCTGTGTAAACAGAAAATATAAAACAAAAAATGTGACGACATTATTTTAGAAGTCAAGCGCCAAAAATAACCCTCAAAACAAACCCTTTAACTTAAAAAATGATGGAATGGTGGGGACACAAGCATGACCTACCTATGCCATTCCTTAACTCCCTATCTTTTCCTTGAGGACCACAAAAACCATGTAACACACGAAAGGTTGGGTAACAAGAAGGGACTGGACCTATCACCAACTACTTGCCATAGTTCTCCAATATTTGTTGAGTAAACAGAAGCACACATCGGCACAACAACTGTCATTTAGAGGTTGGGAAAACGGCAATACCAATAAACAGAGAAAATTACAAAACACTTAGAAACCACCAGTGGCACCCTCCAAACCATCTGCAGTCCACTGAAGGCAATGATAGAAACACAAGGAAAGTTTCATTTATCTATTTTTTGAATATACACAGACTCTCTGGACCATAGACAGGTCAGCTCTCGCCAGTGGAAAAACAAATTTAAAACATAACACACTTGAATGCAAACAGAAAGTTCAGAAACACCTACTTGAAGACAATTGTACACATTAACCACGTTTACCCTGTTCATATTGCCCATTTGATACATTTCATTAACTGGATACAGCCTGCGGCCGGTCAGGATTGTTCTTTATGGAGGGACCAAGGCTACGACTATGGCACAATTTGATCAGATTCTCTCAAAATCAAAATATGTTTGTGTGTGTGTGTGAGAGAGAGAGAGAGAGAGAGAGAGAGAGAGAGAGAGAGAGAGAGAGAGAGAGAGAGAGAGAGAGAGAGAGAGAGGGGGGGGGATATAAAATTGAAGGAAAAGGAAATAACAGAAAGAGAGGGGAAGAGAGAGAATCTTTAGTTTTAATAAAAGTTTCACAGCACTTGCAACACAATAAGAAGACCTAAGTGCCGAAGATTAGTGGTTATACAAGGGAGCAACAAAGTAAGAGGGGGGAGAGAAAAGGACGATAGGCGTTTGATAAGAAAGAAGAAGCAAACCACACCAGAACATCCCTCAACCACCTTCGATGGAGGGAGGGGGGTGGGGAGAAAACAGACATGGACAGACAAGGGACAGAGCGAGCCAGTGCAGTGCGCGCGGTGTAGCAGCGAGACACACACACACACACACACACACACACACACACACACACAGATACACGCACAGCAGGCGGGCCGGGTGTGAGAGACTGGGTCACAGCGCAGCCTGGCACAGTGTGGGAACCCGGCACCGACCTAGTTCCGGCAAGACGACCGGTTCCCTTGAGAGAGAGGGAGACGGAGAGAGAGAGGGAGGGGGAGAGAGACACAGAGA